CACTAGCAGGGGAACGGTTTTAGTCATTGTTTCCATTCACCAGGGTTCTATTTCGGGCCCATATGAATCTATGCAGACCAAACCACCAGACACGGACACCGACACCTCCCACCCAACCTACTCGGAACGGCTTCCGGCCTGAGCTCCCAGAGCCGCTTCCGGCCGTTGAGGTGCCAGCTGAAGGGGTAGTCCCCGTCCTGACCGGGGTCACTTGCGGCACGCCTCTTCCATGCGTTGATGGAACCGGGGTGTCGTGGCGCAGTCAATAGGAGCTCCCTGGTTGAGACAGACCTCGGCCAAATGCCCCATGTGGAAGGTTGGAGAGCTCAGCCCTGCGTCAATCCACGGGCCATTTGAAGCCACCTTGTGCTGCAAGGCAAAAAAAAGAGAGCTTCAAACGGCGCCATCACACCGTACAGGGACCCCGAGTGCACTAAGCAGCGACGGAACATAAAGGGCTAACAACTTTCTCGCAATGCAGTCCTGTCATCATCAAATCATTTGGCTTAACAGCGCCCCACCACCCCATTCCAATCTATTTGGGCCCGTATCAAAGGATGTTTACAAGGAACTTCGCACTGAAATGAATTGAGCTGCGCATTCGGGGAATATGTGCATTGCGTGTGAGCATGAGAAACTTCAGAGCGCGAGAATTTGAGGAATGGCAGGAGGCTCTTTGACAAGTGCGCGCGCAGACCATGCTCGGAGCGGTCTGCGAGCGGGCTCAAAAAGCCGGTGTGGATGCCGGCCCATTGGGGACGCGAGCTGCTTCGCAGCCGTCAAATACAAAAACTTTGGTCGAGCTAAGACTTAGAAAGCGGCTTCGCTGTGTAGACTCCCTGAGATGCCTCCATGTAAATGCTTTGGACCTCAGAAGCCTGAAGCTGATCCAAGAGAACCTTTTGATGATTTGCGAGCAGATCCATCCGCTTAATTGTTTTGAACGAACAGGTGGACTCGGGCTGTCTTTTTGCGGGGTTCTGCTCGCAAATCATCAAAAGAGACCAACCCACGTGGGCTGTGTCTGAGCTCTCGCCTTCCCCAATCAATTGACTCATAGAAATATGCGAGCAAATTGTGGAGAACAAGCTCAGAAATTGTTGGTGGACAAACATCTCCGCATAAGCGATGTGCGCCAAAGGGTCCCCACTCACAATTCGTACCCCATGGTCAGTATCATGGTTGCAATACAGACAATTGTTGTCAGGCCAATCACTCGAATCCAAGGAACTGACAGGGCGCTTAGAAGCGAATACATGGCTGAGCAGCGATCCCCCACTAGCTCTTGCTACCCACAAGATTGTGATTGTGTACTGCACCCCCGTGAAACCAGACAGAACCACCTACAATACCCAAGGGTGAGGGGCGCTGCGGCAACCTGAGCTCGTGCACCGCCCTTGCCCAAACCGCGCATGGCCTTGTCTCGCTCTGGCTGGTGGGTTGGCCGGTGCATGGCCACGAGCTTCACCTGTGGATTGCTTTGGCTTCGTTGCCTCGGCTCTGGCACTTGTCGGATTGGTATGCGCTCGTGTGTTTGTCTTTGCGCGATTTTGTACGGAGAGATTGTTCTGTTGGTGTCTGTGCACTTGTGTGTTGTGCTAGCGTGTGTTGGTGTCTAGCCGTTGCGGTAGTTGCGTGGGTTTGTCTGTGTGTGTGTGTGTGATTGTGTGGTTGGAAATGTGTGGGTGTGGGTGTGGGTGTGGGTGTGGGTGTGTGTGTGTGTGTGTTGGTGTGGAAATGTGTGGGTGTGGGTGTGTTGATGTGTGCGTGTTGGTGTGTGCGTGTTGGTGTGTGCGTGTTGGTGTGTGCGTGTTGGTGTGTGCGTGTTGGTGTGTGCGTGTTGGTGTGTGCGTGTGCGTGTGCGTGTGCGTGTGCGTGTGCGTGTGCGATGTGCGTGTGCGATGTGCGTGTGCGTGTGCGTCAGCGTGTGCGTGTGCGTGTGCGTGTGCGTGTGCGTGTGCGTGTGCCTGCGCGTGTGCGTGTGCGTGTGCGTGTGGGTGTGGGTGTGGGTGTGGGTGTGGGTGTGGGTGTGGGTGTGGGTGTGGGTGTGGGTGTGGGTGTGTGTGAGGTTTTCGCGCTTCCGCGTCTGCGCGCTGGCGCGATTGCACTTGCACTTGCACTTGCACTTGCACGTGCACGCTTGCGCGTTTGCGCCTTTACGAAGTTGCATTTACTGGCAATTGCATGCATTTGTGCCCCGCGTTTGCGCACCCGCGCGCAAGCGGGTGTGAGTGCACACGTGTGCACGCACTTGAGTGCGGTCTCGCGTGGTTTCCTGCGTGTGCGTGTGTTTGCACGCGGTTGCTTGTGTTCGCGTTTGTTTGCATCTGTTTGTGTTTTTGCGTGCGTCATGATGGTGATGATGATGATGATGATGATGACGACGACGACGACGACGACGACGATGATGATGATGATGATGAGGCTGATGAGGCTGATGATGATGATGATGATGATGATGATGATGATGATGATGATGATGATGATGATGATGATGAGGATGATGATGATGAGGATGATGTTGTTCAGCCTTTGCCATGCCACACTGTCACTAAAGAAACAATCAAGGCGCGGAAAGGAAACATCGGCGTGCGGCAAGGAAATCCCGCCAACATGTTTGCCAACCCTTCAGGGAAATGTGAATTCAAATGAACTCGGGATTCAAACTGGACTTGTTTGACACATTCCAGAGATTGGCAAAGTAACCCTATTTTGAGACCCCCTTCAAAGGCACAAAATCAGAACAGTTCTCACAGCATACCTCTTGCTCCTGTTTGTTCTTCCCTTGCTTGTCTCATGCACTGCCGCCCGGCGCATCAGCCACGTGGTATGCAGCTTAATCGGAGGCCTCTTGGCTGATATCATTTACATCAGATGTTATGTCCACCCACTATGTTTCAAGGCTTACTTCCGACATAAATAGCCATATCCCACTGCCCATCTGCCATTAGGCCAAGTGGACCAGCCCGAGTCCAAACGTCGGTTGGTTCCCGCTAGTCAAAACATGCAGAAACTGAGGAAGTAAGAATCAATCTCTCATGCCAGGTTGCGATCACTCCGATGCATCTGCCACCGATCAAAACTCAAGGACCCCAACATCCATCTACAGTCGCCTGATAGTGGTTTAAAATCAAAACGCATGGGCTACCCTTCAGGCACTCGACTTCGCTTTGAAACAGCCCGAGCGGTTTGCCTGGCAAAGGTCGTTCTCCCAGCTACTGGCGCGGAGGTCGCTGGCTGCATTGGCCTCCTCAAACCTGCGGGGCACCCTGGGAAGCTCTGGACTCTTTAGCTCTGGCAACCCATCTGTTCAAGGTCTATGAGCCTCACTGATCTACAAAACCAGCGGAACCGGGTGCAGTAGATCCGAAGGTTTCGGGCGCAGCTCGACTTTCTGAACCCGGAAGATGCCCAACTACACGTGTGTGTGTGTGTGTGTGGTTTATCGTGTGGTTTGCTCCGGGGGGGGGGGGGAGGGGTTATGCTAAACATCAGCAGGCTGCAGCCATTGCAGCGGCGACAAGCGAGGTCAGCACCTGATAATCGTGCTTGTATGAGCTGCTTCCCTCCTGCCCAAGCACATGACCTGCTTCCAAAAACAAATACGCCGGCCACCGGCAACAGTCCGGCGCACCTACAAAGTTTCAATTCAGCTTTGTTGCCGACGCCGCTTCCCTTGTTTGGGGTGTTCTTATGACGGGAAAACCAGCAGCATTCTCTGGGGGCTCCCCTTAGATCTTGGGGCTAAGACCTGGCCTCCAGCGCAGTGGATCCTCGTAAGCTTCCACCACCGCGGGCATGGCGCAACAGTGAAACGGCACCGAATTCGGCTTGATGTTTTTGCCACAGAAACAATGAGAGAACCGTTGGCGTGTTTTCTTTTCGGTTTCTCACCATGCACTCGGCTGGTTGAGAGACGATTGTGGCCCTGGTGTCCTTGACCAAATAGGGGGTAGGCATCTAAGTCTCATGGTTGCCACAAGAGCTCGTGCAGGTTCGCTCGAGCCTGTCGACAAGCGCGGCGAATCCTGCCATGCAAGCATGGACAGCAAGCACAACATCCGCAATCTCGACTTATTGTCCAAGTCCGGGTGCAGGGCTTGCGCAAAGTGAAGCCAAGTCCGAGCGAGAAATGTGCGTGGGAAATAGCAGGGCTGGAGCTTGGTGGGTTTGATTATACGAAGAGCTGAGTAACGAACGGCTCTTCGATTTCATATTGGTTCCTTTCGAGCTAGTGGTCTCACTTGTCGCGTGTCCTTTTCCAAAGATCACTCAACCCCAAGAAATCGGCAATCAGCAGGTGATGGTCTAAACTCTTCTAAACTCACGAGGGAAAAATAGGGACTGCCTTGTAGCCAGCAACGAGGGAGATGTCGGAAATGGCCGGGACACCTGTGAGTTCCCGCCTCATGTTCCAAACACGAAGTGGCCAGGTGATCAAAAAGAGAAACCACGTCTCAACGCTCAAAATGCCGTTCTCTTTAGCACATGGCGACAGCTGTATGAGCAGGATGAAACAAGACCAGGCCAGTCCCAACAAAAAGTTGTCAGCCACTCTGGGAGCAAGAACTTGCCATGTATGACGTGCCAAAATGCGAGGCTGAGGCATGGAAATCTCAGTTTGAGTACAGGAGTTCAAGAAAAGAATCAAAAGGGCGGATACTCGGTTGCCTGTACCCTCCTACCCCGGTGTTGACAGTGGCTCACCCAGGTATGCATCTCCATTGATTGGGAACCCTTTGGCGGACATTCTGAAAGCATGGATATTTATGTCCCCCAACCATTTGTCCAGAAGGGATGGCCCGCGGATGTGACAAACAGTTGGGCTTGTCTCCGAGGGCAACCTAACGCGCTTCGGCGTCCATTTGCTTCAGCTGTCCAAGCCTGAAACTGGGCCACACCCGAAAAAGACCGGAAAAGGCGACCCAACCTGCCCAAATCAGCGGTTCCGAAACCCCCACCATTTCGCTGAGCCCTTGGGTCTCACCTCAGCACCCTGCCCGGCCGCAGGCGCCGATCCCGGCGTTCAGGCAAACTCGGTCGGGCCGTGGCCCGTGGCGGGCCATGTCCTGCGCTCTCGGCGCGTTGAGGCCCCTGGAATTCAACAGGAAGTCCGTGCTCTCAGAGGTCCCTCTAACATGGAAGTTCCTCGACCGTCCTTTTTCTGGGGAAATACCTGTTTTTGTTTACTGAGAACGGGTGAAGCGACGAGCCAGGGCTGCAAAAACATCTCAAGTCAATCCCGTGCGGGATGGAAGCCATGCTTTTAAGGTGACCCGAGCCAAACATCTCCACGGCTGTGGCCCCAAACACGTGGCAACCCCCCTCTCTTGATGGCGTGGGCCAAGGCAAAAAGAGCCTTTGGGAGCATGCCACCTTTTGGCCAGATGTTTCCCCATCCTCTTGCAGTCTCCCCTTGAAAGACCGTTTCATTGGTTTGTCGATCCCATCCAACTTGCCCATTGCCTAGAACTCCCGCCTCCCCGCCTCCAGCAATGCCGCAGCTGTCTGCCATTGCCGAGCCTTGGACCGATTTGGAAGGAAGAAATAGCTCCAAACCTGTTTCAAACAGAAAGGGACGCTTCGCATATAGTGACGGCACGTGCTTCTTGAAACCAAACCAAACCGCAAAGGTTTGGGTAACCCCCCCCCCTTCGCAAGAGAAGCAAGACATGGATGCAACCGGCTAACCGTCCAGTTGAACCATCCAACCATCCAACCAATCCAAGCTTGCCATATCGCACCAACACCAAGTACACCAAGAAGGCCAAGAACCAAATGACAACCGAATCAAAACAAACCCGCTCCGGAGATCCCGTCCGGACGCTTGGCTTCCCCGCCCCTGCCATGCTCCGCAAGGCCGCTGCGCAACGGCGAAGGCCTGAGGCGAAGGCACATCTCGGCGGAGACGGTAACGTGACCCCGGTTGACAGGAACACGTGCTGAACCGCCGGGCGTCTGTTTGCCGGTTTGGCTTGCCAAAAATGTCGGACAAGGCCTTTCACAGGCTTGTTTATGGCTCCGGACTTTTTTGAAAAGAATGCCAAGCCAGTCAGTCTGCCATGAAGGCCGGAAAGCATCAATTGGTACATCCTAAGCCAGCATTCGCCAGAGCAATATAGGGATGAGACGTGTTGATGGATTCTTGGGTGAAGCGATGAGACCATTGCACGAGTTGTGTCGAGTTTGTCCACAGGTCTGGCGGCTTGAGGGGCGCCGCTCGCTTGTCTCATTTAATCGCTGGGTCCTGTTGACTTGGAAGCGGTGCACATCAAGTTGCCAACCCCCGAAACTGGCGTGGGGACAGTTTTCAACCCCCAAAACTGGCTTCATAAAATCACTTCTGAACTTGCCAGATCCCACGCATCAATGTAGTTACTTGATGACACAGCATGAAACAAGGCCACAAGTGCAGCGACAAGCCTTGATTCAGGCCTCAGCTGCATGTCCGCGACATCTGACTCTCAGGTTCTGATTGGCCGTGCTTCTGCCTCTGTCAGCAAGTTCTGATTGAACTTACTCATCAATGGTCCTATCGAGCATTCAAAGATAACCAATAAATCTACATGCAGGAAAGGAACACTGGCTGGTCGTAAAAATATGATATTTGACAGGGAGAGCATGTTTCTACAAAGAAGCATGAGCCCAACGCCTGCTTTACATATGGCCTGTGCTCGCGGTTGCTTCCGGAAGTTGTAAACGATGGGTACCGTAGCACACGATGCTGACCTGAAAGCAGCCAAAGCCTTCCCCCCACACCCACCACCAACACCCCAGCCGAAACAACATCCCTGGACCCGTGCTGCAACAAGGGGTGTCTGCGTGCACCCGACCCGGGGACCCGCGCTAGGGCCGCCTTGTCCCCCCGCTTGGGCACGCAGGTCTGGCGGCACCCAAGGCTGCCTCCCTTCCCAACTCGCAACCCGTCCCAACAAAGCTCAATCAGAACTGGCCCCTTTTGGGTTCCAATGGAATAGAGCTGCCCGTCTCTGCAAATCTCCAGCGCTCGACAAGACCCCAAGTCTTAGATGGGTGAATAGAAAGATTTCGCCAACCCAAAATGAGCCTCCTCTGCGAAATGAAAGAAACCTTTATCATGGGCGTGGTCGCCAAACCCCCCTTTGGGAGGTCACGTCATTTGCCCAGATCCAATCGATGCCTTGTGCCCTGCTTTGAAGGTGGCCGTTATATATTCATGTGTTGAGTGCTGTCACCAAGATCACAGTGTTCCTCCCAGTCGCACTGGCATGGAGAAGGTAGGTACAAGGGTCAAAGCCCGTTGCAACCCAGGCAAACGCGAACCACACAAAATAGCTACGCTTGGCTAATTTCATGCCAGGGTATTTGGGTCTGTCTTCTTCTAAGGGGACCCCGCCAAAATGGTGGCTTTTTATTGGTCTCCCCTTAAAACCACAAAAATGGCACTCTCTAAAAAGACACACCCATTTTGTTCAAAGCGCTTGCAACCACCGCTTGCCAAACAGCCCTGCAAGTACGAAAATCCCAGCTCTCCTGCAATCGGATGCTCCGGCACCTGCACTCGAAGCAAATGGGGGGGAGGGGGATTGGGCCGTTTACAAAGGCCCCACCATGATCCCTTTGAACTGCTTAGTGGAGCCTTTCCGTTTTGAAGTGAGAAAATCCTTAGGTCCCACATTCCCATTGACAACTTTTGATTTGAATGGCAAACGGCTGCATTGACTGGCCCCATTAGTTTGCCATTATAAAAGTGACCCCGTTAAAGGCAAATAACTCCCAACAACAATGCACTGAGGCAGAGTGGGGATGGAGAGAGAATCCTTCATCGGCTGAGAATCTTCCGCCTCCTTCCGCAATGGCTCGTTTTGCTTTTTCCGGATTGAAGGTACCACGCCTGAAGAATGCCCAACCAGGAAACAAGCAAGGGGAGGGGGTCCTACCGACCACAGCGACCTTTCAGCACGAGCTGTGATTCTTGGCTAGACTGACTCAGACACTAAGAAACAAACAAAAACAATCGTCAAAATATGCACAAGGGGGCGGGGGCTGCCACTTGCACCAAAACAAGCTCACCTTCATGACTGGTCTTGGGCAAGAACAAGCACACCTCGAGCACTGGACCTGCGGGTAACCTCGGAGCTGGATGGGCCCCAGGCTAACAAGGCAGAAGGGAAACATAGAACTGGCAAGCTACCAAACTGCACTAACCGCGCGGGACCCGTCCAAATGGCAACAGGTTCATGAGTCGTTTGCAAAACGTCCCAAAAGCCGTCTCTCCTTGGTTTGACAGCATGTGCCTGAGTTGGGAAAGCCTCGAAACCATGGGCCACATGGTACATGAGGGGTGTCCCCTGTCTTGGTCTTTGCTTGTTTCTCACAACGCGGCTTTCGGACAAACTATGGAACCTTTCCCAATGGTCGGTCTCATATTGATTGCCCTTTGACGCACAGCTACATATGCATCTGAAGAGTTTTGGAGGGTCCTGATTTGTGCGCAACCACTTTTGAAGTCGAAACCAACTAAAGTCAGGAACCATGTCTACTCTTTGAGCTTGGTACTTGAACAAGCCATGAGGATCCCGTGCCCGATCCGGCCGGCCTCCCAGGCCTTGCCCCGAAGCCGCAGGCATGCGGCACGCATAAGCGCCACATGAGAGATGACGAGAAAGAAAGCCACAAGGCCGGCCGGTTGCGGCCGATGCCTTCTGTTGCAATGATTGGGAAGGTCACTAAGCGACTAAGCGACTAAGCAGTGAAGACATGGGCAAGATCTCTTGCAGTCCGAAGGCGGCCGAAGCCTGTGATGGCCGCCCAACCATGCCTTTGTTAGTCAGCCCGATGCCTTCCCGACGCGAGAAACTTGACCTGCCGTGCTGAATGTGTACCTATTCTTCCGCTAAACGGTCTAGCTGCGCCGTAGAATCCAGGCGTGCGGCAGCAACAAGTCGCCTGACAAGCGCCGGCTCCAGATGTGATGCCTCGGTTCCCAGTAGTCGAGAAAACAGGCTTTTCCAGGTTCCACGAGGAATGGGAAGGAAGATGTCAGACGCAAGAAACACTTCACTTTTCCGACTTTCATGAGCATCCGTGGATGTTGACAGAAATGAAAGTCTATTAGACCTGCCTACACAGCAAGCGGCCTCCACTTTTGTCAAAAGCCAAACAAGCCATTGGTGTTTTGCTGGGTGGCATGCAGTATCTTCAAAATGATTCACCCCTTCTGGCTGGCGCCCTTTGGGGACCGAAAGGCGAGTACCCAAGGAGAAACCCCTGAATAAGTTCGTAATTCAAAGCGAACACATCTCTTGGTTCTTTTTGGAATGTCCAAAAGCTTCTTATCCAAAAGCTTCAAAGCAAATCTACGTGAAGCCGGGCAGGTTCTGTTTCTGTTTCCCGTTCGACTCGCGGACTCGCGGACTCGCGGACTCGCGATCACAGCCCTTTGGGCCCCAGTCCGGCTGTGGCGATCTATGGCTCCATCCGTTTTCGCACTGAGGCGATTTGGCTGGCTGCGAGGTGGAGATTCGCAAAAAAAATGACCTAAAGAGGAGACACACTCGTTCCATGAAACCCCGCGGAGTTTAGCGTCCGACTTGAACTCGTTCTGGCGACTTAAGGCGAGACTAAAGACCCATCGGACTCCGAGTGGTTCCATCAAGGCAGATTCGTACAGCATCTGAAGCCAATTTGGCTGGAGATCTCGAGGATTTCACAGGTACTACTTCCAGAAACTGACCCGCAGGCCCGGCGGCAGCTTCGCAAAAAACGAAGAAAAACCACAAAGTTTGCTTGGAAGAACTTGCCCCAGAACTTGGACAGTCAGCCCGGGTCTTCCAATGGCATCTAAGCAGAGCTCCTTTGAACTTCTTTTCTGCCGCCGTTCAGTGCGGTCAGCACCCGCAGCTCCGGAAGTGCATGCCAAGAGCCGAGGGGCCTTTGGTTTTCGGGCCCATTGGGGTCTGGGATGCAAGAGAAACCGCTGAACCAGTCCTGGCCTTGGCCGGCCCGCGCCGGGGAGAGACTACAGCCGTGTCGATGTGCCGAGCCAACACTGGAAATGCAAAGGCATGAACTTCACGCTGGACCTCTGAAAATGTGGTCGTGACTCTGCTCCATTCCGAGCAGGTCAAATTCCGTCGGCCCACACCTTGAGGCGTAGGCCAACCGAGTGCTGTCAACGCATCACTCAGCTGCAGTTGCTGCCATAGCGGCTGTAGATGTCCGCCATGGATGCCTGGCTTCAGCCACGAAGAGGATCTGTCTAACAGGAGGCTTGATTCCCTGAATATTGCAAGAAAGCAAACATGCTCCGTCTGGCTTTTGCCAGACACTGTGGGGCTAGTTGACCTGCAAAGTTGGGGAATCGACCAAACTGGGGAATTCGTGCTGCAAAACCATGTAATATCCATCAATCATTTTTGTCACCTACTTGGTCAGGTAATTCTTACTCTCCGCTGCTCAGTGTGTCGGCACGTTTAACATGACAGTCTGGTCACCAAAATCCACACAAACTGTACCCTCCCTCCCACTAACAAGGCACCTGTGGGAGGGTACCTGCAAAATAACTTTCCTCTTGTAGGGACCCTCTGGCAGGTGCCATGTTAGTCGGAGTGAGGGTAAATAGTTGGAATACCCAAAATTCCGGACCTTCATCCTGGGTGTCGATCCGCGCCGCACGACTCGCCAAGCGACACGGGATGGGTCTACGTGAGGCGCTCAGTCGAAGGGGAAGGCGTGACGCAAGAACGCGCAGCGGGATGGGGCCGTGGGCACAGCTCGCAAGCAGTTTCAATCTTTAGCACAACGGGACCAGAGTGCCGAACAAAACACCAGGCATACACAAGTTGCTTTCACTTGACGCACTTGGCCTTCAGGAAGGGGTTCACCCATAAGAGGCAGGCGCTGGAAATATCAGATTGGCTTTCTGAAATCCGGGTGTGGGTGGAAGGGACTAGACTCACTCCTTCTCTTCGCACGGAGTCGCTTCTTCGGGGGCCATGGGCAGACCTCTTCCTCGGTCAGTTCCTCAAGAAGCATCACCTTGTGAGCAGAAGGCTGATCTTGTAGATTCTTGGTTGCTGTTGACCCCCCCTGCAAAAAAATAACTGTTTGGGGGTTTAGTGGAAAACCCCTTGATTTCGCAAAAAGTTAAAGTCTAAAGACCCAACCCAATAGCAGTCAAGGATTCATGTCACCAAGGCTGGAACGTGAGTTGCAAGTCCTCTGAGAAGCCCTCACTGAAGGCATCCGTGAAACTCCCCGACGGGAGCTGCACGATCGAAGGCACTCGATCAGAGTGGTCATCTCTGGAAAAGACCAAAAGCACAGTGTTCCAGCGCCCCGTGTCACAAAAATGTCCTGTATCAAAGACGTGTGCCGGGCGTATGCCAACTAACAAGACCAGCAAATGAAAAGGAAGCAGAAGATCAAGTGACCGCTCACTCGGTGCCCGGCCCTGCAAATGGCAAGGTTCACCCATCCAAAGCCAGGCGTCCAACTTCGGGAGATCGCGAGACCGAGACGGCAAGAGAGTCGCTGCGAAGGATGGTGCAGGAAGGTGCCCTTCGCCAAGACGGTATTCAGGGAGGACCCCCAGATTTACTGCCATGCCCCTCTGCGAACCCCAAAGCGCGTCCCGTACTGCGCGGTGCGCCGCAGGGCGCCTTGGTGGTCAGCGGCAAAGTGGTGGCGTGTCTCTCCAAATCCTGGCGCAACGCATTCGATAGCCAGCTAATGGAAAATAGTCAAAGCATTTCAAAGCCTAGACACTGGCTTTAGCATCAAAATAGCGACTTGCTTGCTGCTTGGTTTTCGTGCATGTCTAACTAAATGGGCCATTCGCAAGTGAGCTCAACTTCCAACTCTCTTGCCAATTCGTCTCCCAACCAGAATCAGCCAGAGTGCTGAAGTAGCTTTGGAATTGGGGCTAGCTGTCAAGTGTCAAACTGCCCTCATTCCGCGGCATGTGCAACTTGCAATCGGCTGCTGGAAGCAGCTGGGACTTCCCCAAAGTTGATGCGGCGACAAAAGACGGGCAGAAATGGGGAGCCGGTTCTCAGCCAACAAAGAGCAACCGAACACCTGCCCTGCAGAACATGCTTAGTAGGCTTCCCAGCTGCGCGAGCTGTGAACCTTCAAGGAAGCCCACGGCAATGGATCAAGCATAGACCCAGCCTGGAGGTACTGCACTACCTTGGCTCACCCTCTCCCTCTGGGCACAAGCTGGCATCTCAAGAACAAAAAAAACGCTGGTCCCCTGGAAAGGTAACATTTCGCCGGCTTCGAGGACACCTCAACAGAGCCGGCACTTCGTCCGGTTTCTGAATAGAAACCTGAAGCGCCTGAAGTTGGGTTCGGAGCCAGCCTTGCGGACACCTTCTCTGTCTTCTTTCGCGGGTACCCTTTTTGGGGCTGCGAAAAGGGAAACCAGAGCCAAAAGCACCAGCTTGAGGGTCCCCTCACTTTGAGACACATCCAGTTTCACGTTCAAAGGGGTCTACCGCAAAAGGAACAGCCTGCATCGCTAAAGGCCGGTGAATGGAATGCGACAGGGCTGCAAAGACCACGAATACGCGAAAGGTATGCTTTGCTCCTGCGAAAACTAAGGGCCGCGAAAGGACGGTGAACAACTCCCACATGACGCACATGGTTAAGCCGGTTAAGCTTCCACTTCTGTTCCAAGGGAGCGGAGTGCAGAGCAGACATTCCGCAGTTGCCAAATGTGCAATCACGTTCAGGTGGTGTCCAAAAACAGCCCCCAGGTTGGTTTCCCTACGCCCTCCGCAAAAAGGCGTCCTCTGTCCCCGAATCTGAATTCCCTGAGCCCGTGAGCTCGGGGCCTCCATACGATCGACATAACCAGCTGCCAGGCTCCGCACGAGTTCTCTAGCGCTCCATATTGTGAGAAGAGCAACGCCCAATCAAATTACAAGTGGAAGCACGGCACGTGCACGCCTGTGCGCACGCCTGTGCGCACGCCTGTGCGCCGGCGCTCTCCCGACTTGAACCTCTCTGCATGTCATCAACTCCTCAGTCCGTTTTTTTGTGGGATGACCCAAGGACACGAGGACGAGGTTCTTAAGTGCAAAGCCCGTGAGCAACATGTCCCCGAACAGGCATGGGTCCCCCTCACCCGAAACTCACCTGGAAAGTGCTTGGTTGCATTGCGCACGCGCCCAAGCAAAACCCACCATTTTGAATATCCGGCATCATGTAAAATGCATGCCAGGCAGGATTCCTGTGTTGACTGAACTTTGTGGATGCATACCCTAAGAGAACAGCCAGCGCACCGGTTGCAGGATGCTGTGGCCATAGACCACTGGCCACGGCTCAGCAACCCGTATTACGAAAGAGAACCCCCTATCAAAAGGAATCCGGTGCCATTTTAGAAATGGACCAATGGGAAGCTTCTCAGAACAACATTTTCGGACGCCCCCTTCCCCCCGTGTTTGGTGGTATTTCACGGGGAAAACCTAAACGTCGATGTCAGCCAACTCCGCCGAAGTGGCGAACGTTTTGGCCGAGTTGCCGCCTGCTCGAAGGCCGGGTTCAGGCGGTGGCTCCGCAGGAAGTCCTGCACCACCTGAAAAAGTCCCTTCGGCACTTCAAACCCCATGGGGGGGTTCTCAAAGTAGGAATGGGTCGATTTTGAACGTCTTTTTTTAATAGGGACCTCACCCAAAACAAAAATAAACATAAAAAAAGAAAAGAGCTTCGATTCTTCTTTGAGTTCCCCTTCGCAACCCCAAGAAAGGGGATACCCAACGGACTCATTTCGTTTCCCAAATACCAACCAGGGCCTCCGAATTCAGATTTTTTCTCATGGGTCGCGGTCACGGCTCGCCTAAAAAGCCCTCACAAGGTCGAAAAGTCTCCAAGCAGGTTGGGGATCGCAGCGGTCTTTTCACCATGGCTTTCTGAAGAGTGCTGAGACTCTGAGACCCAATCGGCAGGCTAGAATTTTGGTCCAAGGGGACGGAAGGCCAACTTTCTCTGCGTGGGTTAGTTGTTTGGGGCTCGGAACCCGGTGTGATTGCTTTGGGTGCAAGTGTGTTTGGCTTCAGGGTACCCATGGATCTTAAATGGTTCAGACCGGAGTTCAGCAACATGCATCTCCAAATTTGCTGGATTGCCAAAATATTACACCAACAGCAGATGCTCCAAGTTCTTTCAGTCAAGCACTGGTCTGTGCTCAGCTGCAGTCAGGGCTCTTGTGGGCCATGACTGACTCTCCCGAGCTTTCAAGGCTCAACTTGTCTGGGCTAAGTGACGGACGGCAAGCTGCTGGGGTCCAAATCGGGCAGAATCAAGGGGCCAAGGACTGGTGGAAAGCATCCGGCCCCATTCCCACTGCGCCCCCGCAATTTGAGGCTGAACCTGGGGCATGTTTCAAGGTTCAAGTAAGCAAAGCCGCGAGCTGTGGTTGCATTTGTTCAAAGTTCGCCAAGTTTCATCAGGTGACAATACTCCTAACATAGCACAACAGAAATGAGTAGGGCAGCATGTTTGCGGTCAAGGCAGAAACATGAGGGGAGTGAGCAGAATGTAGAACTGCTGACAGAACTGAGCTTGTGCAAGAGGACACGGACACGCTGGTGTTCCATGTCAGCAACATATTATGTTCATGCTCAAAGCAGTTTTACATTCTCCAGCTTTGTTGTAGTGGAAAATCGGGGGAAACGGCCGGCAACTCGGCCACCACTCCGAGACAAGGAAATGGCTCTAGAGTAAGATGCTCGCTTCCTGTGCGGGAATGTCTATATTCCCAAAACCCCTCAAAGCCTACGATTCTCTAGAGCCGTCGACATAATTTGCCACGTTATCTTGGACTGGAGTCACTAGCAAGGCGATAAGGCACACCGCTCCCCTTTCCTAGATGGTAGGTGCAATGGCACTAACATGGCACGTGTTTCTGTTTGCGTTTGGTGCGCTAAACTGCCCGGCCCGGCCGGGGGGGATCACAACTCCCAACTCACAGAGCTCGAGCTTACAGCCCGGAAGTTGCAAACACACACGAATTCGCGGACCTGCACCCCCCAACTCCCTGACTTCTTAGCACCCCCCAAAAGTCCTCCCCCCAAACCCCCAAACCTCCAACAACTCCCCAACGCTCCAGCGCCCCATCTGCACAAGTCTCATTGGGGCCCTGTTCGCACCTAAGCCGCCGGCTGCCCGGTAGTCCGAGCTCGTCTGCCAGGGGGAGATCGACAGAGTGGCGCAGCCTAAGGAATCAACGTCTGACATTGGGACAGCGCCCAATGAGCACAAAGGAAAGCACACACAAACCCGAACCAGGTTGCGGTATCCAACCCGAGCAAGAACCTGGGTGCAAAATTTAAAGTGGAAAATGCCTTGGATGGTCTTCAACAGAGAAACTACAATGAAACCCATTTGTGGGAGTCGCCCACCCATCTGCTGGCAGGCAGAAGTTCTGCTGAACTGCGCGGCTGCAGCTACCACTCGCACCAAGGTCAGCTGGAGGTTGGATTTGATGGCCCGACTTGGCTAAGGAGGAAGAGGAGAACCCCAATTTCAACGGGCTGGGTCGACATTCAGCTCACAGCAGGCCTGCTGCAAGCGGTCCAAATCGGGACCCGTCGTTTTGATACACGTCTTTGTCGTGTTTTCGCAGCATGGAATCCAGCATAACCCCAAAAACACAAACTCGAAAACTGGTGCAGGTGGCAAGAAAAGTGAAGCCGCCTTCCACTGCACTGCTACGTGCCAACTTTGAGCCTGGCGTTGAAGCAAAGCCCACAAGTCTGCCAGCTGAGTTCCCCGCTTTCTGCGTTGCCTGCGAGAGTTCGGAAGTCAGCCGAGTTTCAGCATCAGCCGCGCCAATGGGATGCTAGGGTCTAAGTGGAGAACCCACTGGCCACGGGGATGGTGCGCTCTGGATTGGGCTAGACAGGTCTGGAAAGATGCGTGTAAACTTCCCTGATTGGAGGGAGGGTTAACAGCAAATAAAACAGGAACGCACATCCGGGCGGAACATGTCGGGGCTCATTGAACAGCTCATGATAGTCTGCTGGCCATGCGGATGCGTGATTCTTGGTGTGGGCGGAACTAACGAGGGGCCTTGGGTCTTGCATTCACCTAGCAAGATCTGTTCTTCTCGACCCCCCGCAGCCCAAGTTTGAACGCTCACCCTCTTCAAGGCGAGCCAACATGAAACCAGGTAGAGGGACCAAGTGATGACAAAACAACATACCAAAACTATTCTAGGATCCCTTTGAAATCGTCAAACAATGGCAGCATAGCGGCACCCAGTTGCTTTGTGTGCTTGATGGTACCAATCCCCTCTGTACCCTATAGCTCTAATCCAACCACCACCACCACCATCACCACCACCACCACCACCACCCGTTTTCCGAACCGAGGGTTTCAACTGATGGAAGGCCGTTGAGACCCCTTTGGTTTAGAGCGAGACAGAGGTAAAGAGAGCAGAAAAGAGGAGAGAGGAAGACAATGAATTCAGGTATCCTCCTTGTCAAAGGCGATCTTGCCATCCTGTCCTTTTCGCCTGCTCTCTGGCAATGTCTGCTCAGTTCATGGGAACCCCTTTTGAACCACATCCATGGCGCAAGGCCCCGTGTGGGGCTCGCTGGGCAACTCTGGATCCGAGCAGATCCGTGCAACTGCGAATGCCAGCATTGCCAACCAGTCAAGCAGAGTCAAGATAGCCGCTGCCCTTTTGCCAAGGTCAGGCCCTGTCATACCGAAATCGCCGGGCAGCAACATGGCACTGGCTTAGGTTTCCCTGCAATGGAAATCAGCAACGCTCCAATTAGGATGTTGGATTCGCCTTCGAAAACGAGGGCAAAAGAAAGTTGGTGCCATTCATAGGGATCCATCATGTTGCCCGCACATTGCGTCAGGAGGGCGGTCATCTTCCAATCTACTTCACCGTGGAAAACCTGCAACCCTTGCTTGAAGCTTGATGGGGTGATCCATGACTCTCTACAAACAGAAATTCAGCTGAGCTCCCGTGCTCCCGCACACCCAGCTCAGCCTCCATCCCAACACCAATCTCGTTTGCTTAGGTTCTCGAGCTGCTGTACGTCGTAGTTCCCTCCAAAAACTACCCGTCCTCCTAAGATGGCCTTGTCAACGCTGATTTTGGCCGTGAGACAGCCCCGGGATTCACTACCCCTCAAAAGCATTCCAGAAGCATCATTCCTTATGTCCAACCTCAAAGCTCCAACGCACCAAAAGCAACAGCATGTCAAATGGACTTTCCATGGGAAGGAAATTTGCTCCCCCGCAAATAAACGTGAGATTCCTGTGTACATGCGGGGGTGTTGGGCTTCCTGTAAGCGCTGAATCATGCGCCCGCACCCCTCGCGGGCGATTCGGTCATCGACATGCGCCTAAGTCCACCTCCACGGCGATCAGAACGCTCGGCACCATCCGCGGGACCTCCCCCGGGGCCGGGAAGGCGCCAGGGCCTCGGGGCTCGGGGCTCGGGGCTCGGACCCGGGGACTACTGGACTTCAGACCTGCCAAGGGGCCACGGTGGACTTATGAGGCGCTTCAAAAAGTTTGGCTTGAGCCATGTTTGCGCTCCGAGAAAAAAAGAAGAAAAAAAAAGGAATGGGTGGGGTGGCCCATCTACCCTCAATGCGAGCAAGAGGTTTAAATCCGGTTCAAACCTAATGTTGGGTCGAGATATGTATAAGTGTGCGAGCATGCCTAGAATCACATGTGTGATGCATCTGTGAGTGTCGATGTATACCTACCAAAGAAAAATGAATACACATGAAACAAGCCCGATGCGAACCATACAGTTCTGTTATACATATGTGTCCATGTATATACATATGTGTGTGTGTATGTACATAGCTATATGTATATACTAAAAAAAAAAAAAAAAACATGTCTAAATGCATAGCCGTCTCCGACCCCTGGGAGCCGGCGCTTGACTTGCAGGCAGAACATGGGCTAAAGCACGGTGTTCAGCGTGGGTTCCCAAAGATGATTGCCCTGTGTGCATGGTTCCTCCTAGAGCGTGGGGGAACCAAACGTGGCACGTCCTTGAACGTGAATATAGTAAGAGCGTGGGTTCCCTAAAAGGGTACGCCCTGCAACGTGAATATAATCCTTTTGGTGGCGAGGACTCCCCTAATCAGAGCGTTGGTTCTCTATGATGGTATGGCCTGGAATGTGTATTTACTCAGTTTGAGACCGAACCTGGCAGTGGCTGATGTGCCCAGATTCTCGGATTCTCGGATTCTCGCGGGTGCGTTTGAGCGGGCGTGTGCTCGGGTTCTCGGGTTCTCGGATTCTCAGGTTCTTGGGTTTGTGTCTATTGTGGGTGTGTCTTTTTTTGGAGGTGCACTTGTTTGGTGTTTTAAAGGGCAAGCAAAAGAAAACTTCCCCCAAAGAAAGACATGCCATATATATAGATGCCTCTATATACATATATACCATACACACGCATGTGTACAGGTTTGTCCAACTTGCCCACGTGATGTTCACCGCTGCTTCAGGGCCTTCACGCTCTAGGACCCACCAAAACGATCAGAGCGTACTTGACAAATGGAACCCAAGAATGCGCAAAGCGTTCACCGTGACAGAATTAGGCCACTGGCAAACAGTAAGGTGAGGTGGGGATGGTCTGCCGGTTGCAAACTTCAAGAAGCTCTGAGCCATGGTTCAGCTGTTCCGTGCCTGGTTAAACAGTCGTAAAGCTTCTGTGCAGGATTTGTCCGTCTGCTTCAAGGGTGCACAGTGTATTGTCTTTCTGTGCAACATATCCACGATGTCCGGCCTCAACTCTAAACATATATATATATATATTATTGGGGACCCTGGTGCAATCCATGGTTTACATGGTCAGGTCGAACCCATAAGAATGGGTTGAACCCGGTGCCCTTGGGTTCCACGCCTTCCAGGCCGGCGCTCTCCGCCGAGCCAAGGCCTCAGCGCAGACGTGGGGAATGAGAAAGGGAAGGAACCTGGAGAAATTCCCGAGAGGAAACCAAATCGGGGGTGGGAGAAAAAAAACAGGGGTGGTCATTCCAGGTTTCATTCGCAGCATCTCTCGCATCAGCAACAAAACACGGAACATGATGTTCAGCGAGTCGTCCGAAAACCTCAAGATGTCATGGGAGCTGTCTTTCGAAGCACATCGACGGCTCAGCTGGGCCCACCCCGGAACTAGGAGCTGGCAACCCACCTTGACAGCCACAGTAGCTGTACCGTCACCCATCATCTCAAAGGGCAGGGTTCTTTGTTGGGTGCTCAATGTGTGAAAAAGAAAGACAAGCCCTCCGTTCACAATTGGCCCCCTCCTAAAGCAAACCTAGAGGAAACCAAGCATTTCTCAGATTTTGAAGCGGGTCATTCGGCTGTGCAGCCGGGCGCGATAACGCCAGGCCCGGCGCGGGCTCCTGCCGAAAACGTGCGAGCACCAAGGCTTGGCACAAAAGGCACCCACTTCAAATTTGGTGAAGCCCTTGAGTTTTTGAAGTGGAAACCCTGTCAAAGGCCAACTATCAAGTGCTTGGCCCTGTCGCAAGCCTGCTGCAAAAATGAAGCCCTTAGCCGCGAAGGAACATATTCTCATGAACCTCTCTGTGCCAGGGACTTTTCGAAGACCCATTTCGCCCACGTTTCTTCGGGGCGCAAGCGTCACTTTCCCGTCAAGCTGTCTCGGGCTCGGCGAAGGTCTCACGAATACTCCACATGTGCCAGTGTCACAAAAACCCTCGCCGCAGAACCCAAAAAGAGAAGCCAAACAAATGGCAACCAAAGAAACCAAAGAAACCAAAGAAACCCAAGCAAACAAAGAAACCATACACACGCACGCCCCAAAAACTAAAGAAACCCCAAAGCGACGGTCCTTCCGCCCGTTTCAACCCGCGTGCAATCGATCCCGGCCGTCGGCCGGCCCCATCGGTCCTGCGCCGGCTCCTGGAGCTCGAAGTGAGGGCGTCTCTTAATTTGGGGAACCCCCCCAACAAATATATCTAGATATACAAAATAATAACAATAACAGAGATACTGATAATTAAACAAACAAATAAATAAATAAATAAATAAAGAAAGAAAGAAAGAAAGAAAGAAATAAATAGATAAACAGAAAAAAAATAAAAAGTAATAAGAATAAATAAACACAATACAAATAAATAGTAATAATGATATTAATAAATACATACATGAATAAATATGTAAATGAATAAAATGATAGTACATAGTAAGAATGATAATAATGGTGATGATAATGATACTAACTATAACACATAAATAAAACACAACTGCGGTAATACATAAATACATATATAAATAATTAAATCAATAAATAAATAAAGATACTAAATAAATAAACAAAATACATAAATAAATAAATAAATAAATAAATACATAAATAAATAAATAAATAAATAAATAATATAATTATATATATAATAATAAATAGTAATGATAATAATAATAATGATAATGATAATGATAATCATAAAAGTCAATCATATTAATGTCTGAATACATAAAATATATAAAATTGATACACATAATGACAATAGTAATAATAATCATAATAATACATGGTGGTGTTTCCCGTGATTTCCCTTCCCCAAAAAAGCATAATCACATGTTGGGTGCCCTCAAAGGACATTCGCTCTTACTCACCCACAGCCTTACTCTGCGCCCATTTGCCAGGTAGGTGTCCGATAAGGTAGGCTTTAAGGGGCCATGCTCGGGAAATGGGAAGTTTGTGAAACTCTTCGGGTTTCACCCGAACTGCCACGGCCAACTTCCCAGCTTACTTCATTCCAAGCCATCAGCAAGGCTAGCTCTGTGCAATCTATGGGCTGACAACACAACCAGTAGCCAACTCCCACCAAGCATCTGTTCAGTCGACACTGGTCCAATGCACCATCTCCAGTCACGAGTCAACGCTGATTTTGCCCTCTCCCGCGTGATGGTCATGTTTTTCAAACCTCGCCACGTCACCTCGGCAGCCTGTCTCATCAGCGCCTGGCGCACTCTCCGTCTTTTTTGAGGGTACCCTTGCTTGGCGGCGCTTAAGGGAAACCAAAATCCACTTGCGCTTTTGTTTTTCTTTGGCGGTTTAGAGTTTCCTAAAAATGACACACCCCTTTGGTTGTGTCTTGTTTCTGATTTTTTGGGGGTACCGCTTTGGGGGCTTGACAAGAAGCGTTCAACCTTCTGGAGTCAGACGGCTCCCATTTCGCATTTCGCGTGAAATGCACTGACCCTCTGAATGGCCTGGAGATCTCTCTGGACCAGCGTTCGCTGCTCCTCAGCCTCCACCTCCTCACCGCACTCGATCTTCCGGGGGGGGGGGGGGAAACAAGCACCGGCGTGTAGAGTTGAAAGACAAATGTACCCCGAATCGAATCCAACTTCTCAAAAATCTTCCTTGTTGTTGCCGTCCTCAGCAAAACCCTGCAAGCTGCAACAAAAAAAAGAGAGCCAGGACTGAATTGGGCGGCTTATGGATCACTTGTCTCTTCTTGGCAAAGGCTGCTGTCATATCCATCGGATTTGGGATTCCCTCACAGCTTCCCAAGCATGTGTCATTTTTGGAAAAATAGCTGGGTCTGGTAGATGATTGAAGCACCAACTAAACCAGGGCCCTCTATTTTTCCAACCAGACCAACCCAAAAGGACACCAATCTTCTATTTGGTTCAGGCCCCTTGGAAAAAAAAAATCCAGTGGTGATAGTTTCCCTTTAAACCCAACAGGGAAAAAATATAGTTTTTTATGTTTTGTATTTAGAAGAAGAAAATAGGAAGAAACAAAACATTCTTAAGCAAATGGAAGCTATGTTCCCAAGAAAAACAGGTCCTTCGACTTCCTGACTTCCCAGGGACTCCGCTCCTGGCGCCGCATCCGCTCTTGGGCGTGCTGCAGATCCACCGCCGCCTGACCGGCGCAGAACAGTGGCGGAAGCACCCGAAGCCCAGCCCGGCCGACTCGAAGGAAATCCTTTTGCTACCAAGGCTCAAGAGCCATGGATTTGTTTGAGCCTAAGTCATACACACTTGAAGTTGGATAACTTTTGTGTGCCTGTGTTACACTCTTGAAGTTAGATAACTTTTGTGTGACTCTCTGTCAGTTCGGGCAAACAGCTGGCAGGGTGCCAGATTGCTTTCAAGTCTACTGCAATCGGGTGGAAAAGCGGCCTCTACCTGCAACAGCCAACCTTTCACACGGTTGCTTCATGTTGCTTGACTTGGCACATGGCATTTGCACTCCCTCTCCCTCTCCCGTCGGTCTTTGACGCTAATCCTTCCGGTAACTCTTTCTTCATTGCCTCACATTTCTGCGAGGGACGAAACAACGGCAGGGAACGAAACAATGAACGAAACAATGAACTTATTTGATCCTCGCACCATTGAGCGAAGAAACCGTCCGGTGTCCGTGCGAAGGGTCTAGAGACCCTTCCTGCGTGGTTGAATGTCGGTCCTCAAAAGCGTCTACCTTGGCCCTGTCGCTGTTCAAATCAAAAAGACAGGGTCCCTACTTGGGACCACGGTGCCCTTTGATTTTCCCTAAAGGGGAAAGTTACAAAATGGGGGTATCCCTATTTTGGGCAACTCTTATGTGATGATGCTGGAAATGTCGGACACTTCCGGAAGAAGAGCGCTGCCATGGCGCCTTTTCGGCGAGCGATTTCGCGCCTGGCTGCGCACCTGCTGCAACTCGGCGCGCAGCGCTTCCTTCTCCTCCTCCAGCCTGAGACATCAAGGCAGTCTGGTCAGCCACCGGCGAACATCAAATCGATGCTGCAAAAAAAGAGATTCTTGAAGATGTCAGGACAAAATGTTGTTCCACATTTCCGTCTGCATTGGCTGCCTGGGTCCCGTCCACCTAAAGTCTTCGGATACAAAAGGACTGAAAAGGCTTCGATCGAATCCCTTCGACACCAAGTCATCCGTGGCCCCTCTGTGCCTTGGCCCGCACGCGGCCACGCAGGACTTTTCAGTTGATGGAGCCCTTAGGGCGGCATTTCTTGGCCCCCGTGATAGGTACAGTGCCTGATCTACGGATCCAGGCTTTGCCTACATCCGAGTGCTGAGTCCGTGGACCCACGTCGTCCGATCTGGACAAAAGAAGTGAAACAAACGGAACTTCCGCGCTCTGCGCTTGGGACGGCACTCCTGGTGACTTTTACACCGTCTTGTGCCTTCGGATGCTGTGACCCCAGGAAAACCACATCAACGTGTGTATGCCCTCAACGGCATGTATGTTGGCAACTCGTTCTATCTATTTGGCACAGGGCATCCACCTGGTTGGGGATTTGGTGGACTTACATATATGGAGCGGTAGCATCCTTCCATATTCAGACTCAACATCGTTCAAATTTCGGTGTGACCGTTTGTTGAGGTTGATGAACAAAAGAGTTTGATCTTTGACTCACTGACCTGTACCCCCGATGCCGAGATTCAGCAGGCAGCTGTCAAGACCTCAGAATGTGGGAAAAGGACTGGGGTTTCACCAATTTAAGCTATGGATCCTGAAAACCTGGCGAGAAGACCAGCTTTAGTCGTTTTTCTCCGGGGTTCCACGTGGTCAGTTGGTCCGGTACACTTTGGGATGGGTGTCCATCCCCGTCCCAACATCAACATCCTGCACTGATCACGCTACCCTCAGGGTGGCTCAGAAGGCACATAAATGCGCATGTTGAGCTCGTAGCAGCAATCTCCACCTCAGCCGAAATTCTGCATTGACCCATCCCCAAAAGGGGATTCGGGTTCAGCGTGACTATGATAAAGGAGAGAAATTCCCAACAGCGAAAGGCAAGAGGCGGACACCCCAATCTGTCGCACGAGGCCCTATGGTACGTCAATTGCCACTGCTGACCCCTCGTCAGGTAGCGAAACTGGATCAAAGCAATCCTAGTCCGGGCGTCATCATTGGCTCCTCATGGTGAACGCGAGATCGTGGGGGATGGTTCCCATACTGCTCCCTTGCACTCGCTGGGATGCAAAGATCCAGACTTTGTCCGCTTGGGAATACAAAGCCACTCCAAGAAGTCTGATTTCGCTTCAGAAAGCACGAGATGATCCATCTCCCCATTCAGAAGGACAACAATATCCAGAACAATCCCAGTCTCGCCAGGTCTGCTGAAAGTGCCTTAGACTTGCCTCCCAGTCATCCGAGTCGCCAAAGGCTGCAACAAGCACATGAACCAATATGGAACATGACGCAAACAAATAGATACCTCGCTTGTGGACGGTGATATCACAATCTGCGATTTATATCTCCATCTAAAGTGCTTGCACTCCGTTGAAGGTGATACGTACAGACAAATAATTCTTTGTTTCGAGCTATCCCACTCCACCAAGAAGCACTGCTTGGGCAACTGGGGCTGGGGTGACTGGCAAGGCACCCCTGAGCCATGGTGTAGTGTTGTTACGCTTGGTGCCTTCATTGTGTGTGTGTGTGTGTCATTGTCTGTCGTGTGTCCTATTCTAACTCATGAGCGCAGTTTTGATTGAGTTGTGCAATGGCGGGCAGGCAGGCAGGCAGGCAGGCAAGCAGGCAGGCAGGCGGGTAGGCAGGCAGGCAGGCAGGCAGGCAGGCAAGCACGCAAACAAACAGACGGATTGTGCTGGTGTGTTATTAAGCATTGCAATGTGTTGTGGTAATGTTTCGTGTTCCCGTTGTTTGTGACTTCCCCCTCTGTTGTAGCGGCAAGTGCTGTGTATTGTGGCTATGCTTGGTGTTGCCAGCATGCGCGTCAAATATTTGTTGTCTGTCATGATAGGCCACTGGCGGGACCGCTGAGTAAGGCCATTGGCGAGATGTGCTGCAGCTATGTTTGGCATCTGTCTGTGTTGTCTGTGTGTGTGTGTGTCATTGCTTCTTGTGTTTGTTGTCATAGTGTTTGTTCATTTTTGGGTGTCGCTGTTTGTTGTCAGTGTCGTGGCTTGTTGTCTGTTGCTGTGGTTGCCATTGCACTGGATGCAACGCAGCAGAGGTCGCGATAGGATGGGTTGTCTGGTGGTTTGGCCATGGCGGAAAACTATCACATTGAAGTGTTTGGTCCAGGGAATTCCCTTCGTTGTAAAGTCGGCATGGTGGAAAGCTTGACCTCAGCGAGGGATTTTTTGCTTTGAGCCAAGGGAACTCCCTCAAAGTCATGGGAATCCGGATCCCGCTTTGCAGGGCAGAGTCCCAACATCAAGACAAAGGTTGGAGGTCTCAGGTTCGCAGGTGGTCTCTCCCCAAATTTTTCTTTCAACCGCTGGGCTTTCAGGGTCCCTTCATGTGTCAAACTCGGTGCTTTCAGCAGCTGTTTGTTGTTGCCTGGACACGGCCATCACTGATGAATATTCATCACCGATGAACATGTCTGGGATCACTCTTGTCCGGAATCTTATTTTAGGGTCCACTCAATGTGGACCAGAAACACAACTATTACTTTTGGCGACGGGACGAATGCTGAGGCAGATTTCTTTGATTTTGGCTGTCACCGTAAGCAAACGGAAAGTTGCATGACCCTGAGCGCGGACAGTCCATGCAGGGTGGAACAATGGCTCATCTCTAGCATTCCATGTCCTGTTGTGTCTCTCTCCCTCTCTCTATCTCACTCTCTCTCTCTCTCTCTCTCGCTCTCCCTCTCCCTCGCCCCCATTCCGACTCACTTTAGGCTTGTGTCCACTCACAATTCCACCCGAACAGGCGGATTTCGGCATCTCATGGTTGCCACCACGGTCTCAAAAGTTGGGGTTGGGCCACCCCGGACCAACAAAAAAACCCGAGGGTGTGGCCCCAGTCCGACGACAAGCCACGGGGCAACTTAGCCCAAAGATTGGGGATCTGTGAGGGTGTGGTCGCCTTTTATGAACCGCGACAGTGCGACATGGAAGATCAAGAAAGCGAAACGACTTTGGTAAACCGCACCCCAACCTCGAAACTAGGGGCGCCTGCTTTTGGTCTTTGTGGTCTCTTTTTCTCTTTCTTCTTGTTTTTTTCCGGGCCGCATCTTGCTAGAATCCCGAACATCGGCTTGATCATGGTCTCTGTGAATAGTCTAAATGGGTCGGTAAACTGTCAAGTGACAGTTCTTGACACGCGTCTTCTAGGGATAACCCAGACTTAAAGTCACTGATTATGCACTGCATTACCCAATCATTATTTCCTGTCGGGTGCGGAAACACTTCCCTCTCCGAATCGCACAATCTCTCGCTGGCCAGGCAACGTTGGGCTTTGCGCCACTGCATGATCAGATTGTCACTTTCTTGAGAAACCTCAGTCCAACGGTCCTTGAGGTGATACAGCCCTTGAAACTATAGTCAAGTCGGTTGAATAGAATCTGGGCCATTCCAAAACCCAATTTTCTGTCGGTTTCCCGCCAGATTAGATCAAGGACTAGCGTCTGTCTCAACCCGAAAAATGCGTGTGTGTCTCAGCAAGCTCTGACTTTTATGCAGATCGTTGGGGGAATAAGTTTTTGATTGCCTGGCGAAGCACCAAGCACGTGTATTGTACCCCCATCTCCGCAATCTCTATCACTAGCAACAGCACCAATTCCAAGCAGCTTCAGCGCATAGCATGTGCACCGTGTCCATGTGCATCCGCTCCATGTTCCTCACAAAGCACTGGAGCACAAAGAATCCTCAGCTGATCCCGGGCTGCCGCATTGGCCGGAGGCTCCAACATGCGCAAGGGAACACTTCTCAAGAACGAACACTTCTCAACGGCCTGTTTGTTCCCTCCCCTTTGGCACACATCCTAGGGAATCCAGGGAACAACAGGAAACCTTCCCATCTACACCACATGCGAGACAAATAGAAGCTGGAATTCTTCCAGCGCAAAATCGATCTACTAAAACCACCGAACACTCCCCCCCCCAAAAAAAAAGGACAGAAAGAAGCCACAAAAAGTGTAGCAGACCTGCTAGACCCCTTCGGGTTTAGTACCTCCGACTAAACCTTCACCGGGCCGACCAGGTCGGTCTCGACCCAAGGCTCCCAGCAGCGCCAGCGCGGCGCCGCTGCCCATGGCAATGGCCATGGCCACCATGTCGAAGCTCAGGACGATGCCGATGAGGATGCCCATGAGCATAGCGAAAATGCCTGAGAGAGAAACTAAAAAAAGCCGGGCGTCATGTGGACGGTTGATATTATATCTGTACATGCATGTCTGGTTTACGTGTGTAGCCATTGTTTTATGATTTGTTCATTTTCAAGAAAAGCAAGCCTGGAGCTAGGTGTTCTGTTGCGTAAACCAAGAGGTATTACTTTCCCAACAGCATGCGTGGAGGCTATGCAGAATCTTTTCAAAACTAGAGGTTGCCATGGTCGTCTTCACCGGAACATGTGCCACTTCCACACTGATCTGAGGGGGTATACGCTCCCAGCGCATCTGGGCCCGAATGCGCGCACACACACACACACACACAAAGCATGGCATGTGAAAACGCTACCACGCGAATGTGAGGTTGAGGAGGGATACACGAAACATGTTTGTAAATTGGTTAATGGGCACGGGGAAGCTTAGTCTCTTGACTATAGTTCAAGCCAGCACCACCCAAAGGATGGCAATTGGAATGGTCAACCAATGGCAAGGGTCTAGAAACCAACCGAACTGGGTGCTGCGAGTTGTCGCTTTGACTCATTGAGTGATGTTTGCAAGAGATTCCTGGCACCCGGCAGGAATGAGCACATCCACCAACCCGAACGGATGTCTCGCTCTCTCTTTCCGCATGTCTGATTGGACGAAGCGGCAGGCGATGACCATGTAGTTCCTGAGATGCGCTGATCGCATCTGAGTCTGGGAAGGGGCCCGGTCATCGGATTCCTTGGAACTGGGTAACGATATCCTCCAAACGATCAGTGTCAATCCAATCCCTATGAAATGGCACCAGACTACCGATTTCCCACAGTGGAAAGAAAAACAAAGAAACACCCAAACATATGTCTAAAAAACAAAACCTCGGATTCTCCGAGTTTTGCCTTGGAAAAACGTTCACCACTTCAGCTCAAGTTCCCCGCTCGCTCCCAGGGGCTCATCTTCGTCAAGGCCTCATTGGCGCTGATCACGAAGCTTTGCCACCGCTCGGGCGTCACCAGGTCTTGCAGGCAGGCGGGAAGTCCTGGCTGGCTTCGGGGAGAGGAACTCGACTCACGGCTGCGGATCAACTCGCCCATTGATGCGACGGCGTAGAGGGTGATTTGAGGCTATGTACATATGACAGTCCCATGGATTCTGGCATGAATTTGCCGTGGGCCTAAAAGAGTCTGCCACGCGCCAAGCCCTGGTAAGACTCGCTAGCCCTCAGCCGTGTCAGATTTTCATCGATCGTCACCGTTCACCTATGGAAGTTTGATCTTCAGTCGGACCTCGTAGATGAATCTCTTGCTGAAGCAGCCGCCGCCCTCCACTGACACCTCCCAGGGTATGGGATGGGAAAAGAGCATATGAGGACCTCAAAACTATCCTGATTGATGGATTTGGAACGTTCACTCAGTATCCTGACTCGCAGTCTGAACACCAGGTTGTTTGAAGTGTAGGAGCGGTTTTTCCTAGAGTGAACGCAACCGCTGTCAAATGCCCTTTTTGCTGTGATCGTATGTTTGGCCGCCCGCCAAAAAGCTGAGAAGAACGCTCAAAAATATGCCACCAGAAGCGTCAGCAAAAATCAAAATCACGTCCCACAGAACAGGAACGATTGGGTGCTTTCATCAACGGACACCTCATATCACTGAAGAGCAGCTCGATTCTTGAGATACTGGGAACTGCTGAGCTTAGGCGAGACCAAAATCCTGCCCTTTTTTGACGCAAGGGACTCCCCGAAAATCATAGGGGCCGACGCGAATTTTGAAGAAAATGGTTAGTCTCAGGGATCTATGGCGGGGGTATTCCCAGCTGTTGAGAGGTTGTGGACTGCAAGTCAGTCAATTCTAGGCGCTCCGACTCCGCCCGCTCCCCGAAGTTTTGCCCTTGTGCTTGCCAACTGTGCTTCTCCGCACACTCTGTTGGGAATTGCGGCCGGTGGATGTTGGGCACCTTGAAGGCTTGAGTCACTTCCCCGACCAAACACCTCGGGCGCCTGGTAATCTTCGAAAGGCCAATTTCGCTTTCCCAGCACGGCGGCACGGTTCTCCACAGCTGCTCGTCCAGGGCGGAAGTACGCGGCGCGCAACGCCATCGCCATGGCGAGAACTTCGACGCCACCCAGCGAAACGGAGGGATGGAGACCGAAAATAGAGTAAGCTCAGTCTGCTATGGGTGACCACAGGGATGAGGAAGAACCAGAAGTATGTGACTTCATGAACATCCCCCTTCTGGTGACGTTGACTGGGCTTTGCAGCGAAATCGAGGCATCTTCAGGATTCAACAAGCTTATGGTCAGGGGGCTTTGCAGTTTCTCAAGCAAAAGCAGGCAGAAAGAAATTCCTGCATGATGCACTTGAACCACTGCCGGACCCGAAGCGGTCATGCATTTGGACAGGACACGAGGGAAAATGAACATGGATGCCGGGCAAAGGGGCAAAGTTGCACAAATCAAAGGGAGATCCCTTTTAACCTACATGGTTTTTAGTTTGGGCATTATTTCCGCACTTCTTTGATTGCAAGCTTGCCTAGAAGTCATCCCCCTAGGCATGATCGAACAAAAGAGCCTGTTCGAGAACAATTGAGGTTCTGCTAGTGTTTGCTGGGGCTCCAACAGCGGTCACTCAAACAGTCAGCCAGCCAGTCAGTCAGGCAGTCATGAGTCAGACAGTCAGCCAGCCAGACAGCCAGTCAGCCAGTCAGTCCGTCAGTCAGTCAGCAAGCTGGTCAGCCTCATAGCATCTCACCCTGCACCCTTGTACAACGAACTTGGGAAGAAAAGAAAGAAGAAGAAGAAGAAGAAAAAAAAAACAAAGTGGCTCAAGCCTCCCGTGAGCTCTAACAAACAAAACGTGTTTTTTTCGAGCGAACAGATCCGCTCCTTAACCCAATCGCACCGCTCCTCTCGCTACCGGAATCGACCCGCCTGACGCGGGCCGCCTGCGCCTCCCCCTGCGCGGCCTGGAATCGAGACCGATAATCCAAACCTCGGGGAGGGTTGTACCGTTCAACCCTCAACGAATAAACAAACCAACAAACGAACGAACAAACAAGCATATGTAGCAGCGACAAAGCAGCCAGCCAACCAGCCAACCAGCCAACCAGCCAACCAGCCAACCTGCCAACCTGCCAACAAGCCAACCAGCCAACAAGCCAACAAGCCAACCAGCCAGCCAACCAGCCACCCAGCCAACCAGCCAACTGCCAACCTGCCAACCTGCCAACCTGCCAACCTGCCAACCTGCCAACCTGCCAACCTGCCAACCTGCCAACCTGCCAACCAGCCAACCAGCCAACCAGCCAACTGCCAACCTGCCAACCTGCCAACCTGCCAACCTGCCAACCTGCCAACCTGCCAACCTTGCCAACCTGCCAACCAGCCAACCAGCCAACCAGCCAACCAGCCAACCAGCCAACAAGCCAACCAGCCAACCAGCCAACCACCCAACCAGCCAACCAGCCAACCAGCCAACCAGCCAACCAGCCAACCAGCCAACCAGCCAACCTGCCAACCTGCCAACCTGCCAACCTGCCAACCTGCCAACCAGCCACCTGCCAACCTGCCAACCTGCCAACCTGCCAACCTGCCAACCTGCCAACCTGCCAACCTGCCAACCAGCCAACCAGCCAACCAGCCAACCAGCCAACCAGCCAACCAGCCAACCAGCCAACCAGCCAACCAGCCAACCTGCCAACCTGCCAACCTGCCAACCTGCCAACCTGCCAACCAGCCAACCAGCCAACAAGCCAACCAGCCAACCAGCCAACCAGCCAACCAGCCATCCTGCCAACCTGCCAACCTGCCAACCTGCCAACCAGCCAACCAGCCAACCAGCCAACCAGCCAACCAGACAACAAGCCAACCAGCCAACCAGCCAACCAGCCAACCAGCCAACCAGCCAACCAGCCAAACAGCCAGCCAACCAGTCGACCGACCAACCAGCCAGCCAAACAACAAGTCGACCAACCGACCAACCAGCCAAGCGGCTGTGATTTTGTTGGAAAGATAGTCAAGGTCGCACCCCCAAAGATTTCCCAAGTGAATCACTATCGTCATGCACACGAGACCCCCTACACCAGCCATCTGTACAGGAGCTGTAGTTGGAATATTCCGGGATGCAAATCGCCAAATCGCCAAACACTCGAACAAAACATGAGACTCGACGTTCTCCGCTGAATTTGGCGGGGCCCTGCGAGGCCCCAGCCTTGCTCAGCTCGAGCTCGCCCGTGAGCTGCCGCACCTGGCGCCCCGAAAACCGCCAAAAGAAACACCCGGCTTCAGCGTGCAAAACGACGGAACTCCGGCTGCGCCAAGATGACGAAACGCGGCAGGGCAGCGTGTTTTGTTGATGTTTTCTTTTTTGGAACACCTCAGCATAACTTCGGCTTCGGGCTCGCCAGCAAACCAACCTTCACCCAACTATCTAGCTCGCAAACCAACAAAGGACGTTTGGAGAATACATGTCGCTATCTTCCCTCGACCCTAGGGTGCTGTCGTCACTGTGATGCAACCTACCCGCTTCCTGCCTCCTTAAAGTGTGTGTGTGTGTGTGTGTGTGTGTGTGTGTGTGTGTGTGTGTGTGTGTGTGTGTGTGTGTGTGTGTGTGTGTGTGTGTGTGTGTGTGTGTGTGTGTGTGTGTGTGTGTGTGTGTGTGTGTGTGTGTGTGTGTGTGTGTGTGTGTGTGTGTGTGTGTGTGTGTGTGTGTGTGTGTGTGTGTGTGTGTGTGTGTGTGTGTGTGTGTGTGTGTGTGTGTGTGTGTGTGTGTGTGTGTGTGTGTGTGTGTGTGTGTGTGTGTGTGTGTGTGTGTGTGTGTGTGTGTGTGTGTGTGTGTGTGTGTGTGTGTGTGTGTGTGTGTGTGTGTGTGTGTGTGTGTGTGTGTGTGTGTGTGTGTGTGTGTGTGTGTGTGTGTGTGTGTGTGTGTGTGTGTGTGTGTGTGTGTGTGTGTGTGTGTGTGTGTGTGTGTGTGTGTTGTGTGTGTGTGTGTGTGTGTGTGTGTGTGTGTGTGTGTGTGTGTGTGTGTGTGTGTGTGTGTGTGTGTGTGTGTGTGTGTGTGTGTGTGTGTGTGTGTGTGTGTGTGTGTGTGTGTGTGTGTGTGTGTGTGTGTGTGTGTGTGTGTGTGTGTGTGTGTGTGTGTGTGTGTGTGTGTGTGTGTGTGTGTGTGTGTGTGTGTGTGTGTGTGTGTGTGTGTGTGTGTGTGTGTGTGTGTGTGTGTGTGTGTGTGTGTGTGTGTGTGTGTGTGTGTGTGTGTGTGTGTGTGTGTGTGTGTGTGTGTGTGTGTGTGTGTGTGTGTGTGTGTGTGTGTGTGTGTGTGTGTGTGTGTGTGTGTGTGTGTGTGTGTGTGTGTGTGTGTGTGTGTGTGTGTGTGTGTGTGTGTGTGTGTGTGTGTGTGTGTGTGTGTGTGTGTGTGTGTGTGTGTGTGTGTGTGTGTGTGTGTGTGTGTGTGTGTGTGTGTGTGTGTGTGTGTGTGTGTGTGTGTGTGTGTGTGTGTGTGTGTGTGTGTGTGTGTGTGTGTGTGTGTGTGTGTGTGTGTGTGTGTGTGTGTGTGTGTGTGTGTGTGTGTGTGTGTGTGTGTGTGTGTGTGTGTGTGTGTGTGTGTGTGTGTGTGTGTGTGTGTGTGTGTGTGTGTGTGTGTGTGTGTGTGTGTGTGTGTGTGTGTGTGTGTGTGTGTGTGTGTGTGTGTGTGTGTGTGTGTATGAAACCGCAGTTTGCCATGGCTGCCATGGACAAACATTCAGAAGTTCCAGATCTGAGTTTTGCTGGCTCAAGCCAGGCCAAACGATGACTTGGACCCCCAACCCTTCTTCGCTCAAGCGAGTTGAAAGATCTCCGCAGAAAACTTTCAACTCGGCTGCCAACTTTGGGTTGTGACTCCGTTGTTTAGCAAGAAGGATTTTGTTCGGATAGGTTCTCTGCCAAAAACCAGTCATGCCCTCTGCCTGACCCTGCAGCTTGGCAGAAGCGATGTTCATCTGTGACATCATTTCCTGCTGTGCTCCGAAAGGCAACGGAATTTCGGGCCTACGCCATCATACGGCCGTCGTGCACAAGCTGCCTACACATCTGACAACGGGTTGCCTGAAGCACAGGCCTGAATCTCTTGGCACGCCTGCGCTCAAACAACTGGCAATTGGTGGGGGGGGGTTGGGGGAAACGGTGCGAGCTCACTCCAACTTTGCACTCCTGCTGCTTCTGGATGGACATCTCCAGGGCCTGAGCCGGCCACGGCCAGCAACTCTACCGTTGCTTAGCCTACCAGGGGTCACTTTGACTCATAGCCATGTCCACTGTGGCTTTGTCAAAGGACGCCTGCAATGGTGCGTTCGATTGCTTTCAACAAGGCCAGTTTGCTTTGTCATATTCAAGCAAACCGCAGTCTCTTCTCTCCAGCTTCTCGACTGCAACGTTCATCGAGATGAATCCAAGAGTTGATTTTAGAGCACATGTTCTTCTGCACACTGGCCTATGTTTAACAACAGAACAGCCAAAACAGTGCCTCTAAGCAAATGTGTTGCACTCAGCTCTTCTTTTACCCACGCCCTGGCCTCGCAGGAACAGAGCAGCCGAAACAGTTCCAAGGAAAACGTGTTGAAAGCCGCAACTGTGCTGCGCTGGAGATCCACAGCCAAACACACTTGCAAGAAATTATCAGGTCAAAAGTGAGAGAGTTGGTCCAAAAATCGCTCATGCATCCTAAATGACGCTGCTCAACAGCCCCTTTTTGCAGGGAGGCTGTTGCCAGGTGCAACATCCAAGGTCAGGCAAAGCGGAATCCCTTTGGGTATGGGAAGGGTGCATCTCCTCTGCCAATGGATGCCTTCAGGAAGCCTCCGCATGCAGCTTTCCTTCGGTGGCACCCTACCACGAATCTCAAGTGGTCGCCCAAGTTGGGGGCTCAAAAGAGCCTCTTTCTAACAATGAAAGTGCGAGGGACTAGCATGGAGGTTTTGCAAGACTATCCTCCAAGTTAGAAACCTCTTGAAATGACAACATGAGCCACAGTGTTTGACCCTCCCAAACAGCCAGACAACAGCACCCCTTTCTTCTATCACTCCCTTGAGGCCATATCAACGCTTCCCATATCTTCCCATGGCTCGACTGGCAACTCCTCCCGCGCCTCCTCCTTCTCCGCCAACTCCTCGGAGGCCTTTTGGAAGGCATCCGCGTTCTCCTCCACCAGCGCCTGGGCCGGGCCCGAGTCCCCGAGAGGCGGGAGCCGGTCGCCCGGGTCGCCTTCGAACCCATGAACTCGACCTGTCACACAACCTGGCATGGGGTGCATGGTCCGAAGAAGAACAAAAAGAGCATGTATGAAGCTCTTGCCTGAGGCATTTCCCGGATGGTTGTTCTATGTGGATTCATAAGCTCCAACCACGGAGCCCTGCAGCAGTTCGCGCGCCTGGGAGAACAATACTTGGGATGCCTTTTACATATACACACACACACGGAGGGAAGGGATCTTGGTGCAGAATAATGCACCCGGCTTTCGTGAAAGAGAATCCTCAACACTGATTCTCAGGGATGCGAACGGAAGAACCACCAGTGCATAGATTTGATTTGTCATTCAAAGTTTGTAGGAATGCGCGTCATACACTTCGCAACCCTCTCGGTGACGCTCCACATATCGCGTCCCAATCGCTGGGCCTCCCGGCGCCCTGGTCCAAACAACGATTCTGCAGCTCCACCATGCTGAATTGGATGTCCAGCATCTCCTCTTCCTAACGACAAGCAGAAACATGTCAAACAAAACAAAGCAAACCACACACACACACAGACGGACAGGCAGGCAGGCAGGCAGGCACACAGGCAGGCACACAGGCAGGCAGGCAGAGGCAGGCAGAGGCAGGCGGAGGCAGGCAGAGGCAGGCAGAGGCAGGCAGAGGGGGCTTCAGGAGTGTCAAATATATCGAACCCCAGCGAACAAAATCAATTGATGGCAAACCTCGGGGAGTTTGCTAGATTCTTCCAGGCTTTTGTCATATGTTCTGTCTCATCAATTTGCGCTCATGTTTTTGAAGTCGGCCACGCATTTTGACAGCGCTGCGTTAAACATGTACAATGAGGCAGGCAGAGGCAGGCAGAGGCAGGCAGAGGCAGCAGAGGCAGAGGCAGGCAAAGAGGCAAACAGAGGCAGGGAGAGGCAGGGAGAGGCAGGCAGAGGCAGGGAGAGGCAGGCAGAGGCAGGCAGGCAGGCAGGCAGAGGCAGGGAGAGGCAGGCACAGGCAGGAAGAGGCAGGCAGAGGCAGGCAGGCAGGCAGGCAGGCAGGCAGGCAGGCAGGCAGGCAGGCAGGCAGGCAGGCAGGCAGGCAGGCAGGCAGGCAGGCAGGCAGGCAGGCAGGCAGGCAGGCAGGCAGGCAGGCAGGCAGGCAGGCAGGCAGGCAGGCAGGCAGGCAGGCAGGCAGGCAGGCAGGCAGGCAGGCAGGCAGGCAGGCAGGCAGGCAGGCAGGCAGGCAGGCAGGCAGGCAGGCAGGCAGGCAGGCAGGCAGGCAGGCAGGCAGGCAGGCAGGCAGGCAGGCAGGCAGGCAGGCAGGCAGGCAGGCAGGCAGGCAGGCAGGCAGGCAGGCAGGCAGGCAGGCAGGCAGGCAGGCAGGCAGGCAGGCAGGCAGGCAGGCAGGCAGGCAGGCAGGCAGGCAGGCAGGCAGGCAGGCAGGCAGGCAGGCAGGCAGGCAGGCAGGCAGGCAGGCAGGCAGGCAGGCAGGCAGGCAGGCAGGCAGGCAGGCAGCAGCGGCAGAGGCAGGCAGGGCAGGCAGGGCAGGCAGGGGCAGAGGCAGGCAGAGGCAGGCAGGGCAGGCAGAGGCAGGCAGAGGCAGGCAGAGGCAGGCAGCAGAGGCAGAGGCAGAGGCAGAGGCAGAGGCAGAGGCAGAGGCAGAGGCAGAGGCAGAGGCAGAGGCAGAGGCAGGCAGGCAGGCAGGCAGGCAGAGGCAGGCAGAGAGAGAGAGAGGGACAGAGACCGCAAGCAAGCTAACCAAACGAAACGAAGCGAAACGAAACCCAACAAACAATTCTAAAAAGCCAATGCACATTCCGGAACTTACCCCCAGCCCAACCGATCAGTTTGAAAACTCCGCAACTTCTTCGCTGGGCTACCTCCCCGCCGTTTGCTCCCGCGAATTTGCGCCTTCGCTTCTAGGCCATCGCTCAGGTTCCGCAGCTCCTCTTGGAGCAGCTGCACCTGCGGAGGACGAGCCCGGGGTTCCGGCGGAGGTCTCTCTCAAGCACAAGAGGGTAACTTGGAGGATGTCATGACGGACGCGGAAAACTCAGGGAAACTTGGAGTCAGGACGGTGCCTTATATTCATGATTTCCCTAGCCCTTAGGCTCATCCGACACCAAAACTCAGCCCACGCAGAACCGCAAAGGGCCAAAGCTGGGGACAAATAATATGGCGTGGAGGGGGTCAATTTGAATCTATGCTCCCAATGTCTGGGCAACATGACTCGCTGGCGCATGGAAGTCATAACTGTTTAACCAAACATGTGGGTCCCCGACTTCAGCACGCCCCAGGCATTTGAAGGACGGCCCAAGCACACTGAGAAAGACTGTATGTGGACATGGAAAAAACGAGCACCAGCTCCACCACCCACCCATCCCCCACCCCCGCCCCAGAGGGACTTTGAGACAAAGTCCCTGGAGTCCTGCTCCTCTATGGGAATTCACAAGTGGATCCGAGAAACGAATGGGGTATTTTGTCCACCTTGGGTTGAAAGAAGGGGGGTGGGAGTGAACCTATCAAAGGAAACCAAGGACGGTTCAGAGGCAAAAAGGAGCTGGAGCCAGACTGGCAAAACTTGCTGGTTCTTAGGGGGGATCCCCTGAGAAACTAAGCATGATTCAGTTCAGGGATTCAGTCCCTGCCCATGGAACCAGCAAGATAGAGCAGGATCCCTTGCAGAGAACAATAGTCAACCCTGAAGGGTGCTCGATCGACGGCTCCGTCTCGAGAGGGAAACTGGTTCCGCGGATAAGTCGAAAGCGAAGCCAGTCACGAGCCGCGCCATCCGCGAAGCCAGGCCTTCTCATCCCGTTTCTCCCCTTGGGCTTCAAGCAGTCGCTCGGCCTCAAGGCGGACATGCAGAGGCTCCAGTAATGGCTTCGGAGGTTTCATGTTAGGAGAGTACCTGTTCCGCTCAGGAAAATCCGCTCTGCCACTCTTGGCAGACCCCTCTTCAACCACAAGCACCCTGTATGAAACCCCGTAGGGTCGTTTTGATAGTACCCAAGCGCTTGTGAAGATACACATACTCATGCATGACTGTGTACAATGCAAGCGAACGATAGAGACGCAGTGATTTCTTGATTTCTGTGTCAATCAATTCATTCAGTCAGATATGTGTCCATGTGTTGCCGTATAGCGCTCACAGTGCCGCTGCAATCAGGGAGGGACAGAACTTCCCAAATGGCCACTCATTTGCGCCCTCGCCTCGAGCCGCAGCCCTCGCTCCTTGCTCAGCCCCCGGTTCAGGCGGTCCACGTCCTGCTCGCTTCTTGATGCGCCAACATACGGAGGCCCTATGGTGGCTACCAACCCGAAAGACTGAACTCAGAAAACACTCGGGGGCTTGGACTTCGGCTTCCGAATCTACTTGAGTTGGCATCCTTGTGTTCAACGATCTTGCGGGGATCGCTCCACAGTTAAAACCGAACTTGCTTGCAGGCGCGGAATACTCGGCACACACACATGGCAGCATCCTGGTATGGATCCCAGGGCACCGCAAGCTGACAAAACTCCGCATTCAAGCCAAATGAGACTCAATACTCCATCCAGGATTGCCTGCGCAAAGCATTGATTCAACTTTAGGGGGGATGCTCTTGCAGATGGCCGCAACATAGCTACCATCGCAACTCTGCTCAATGCTGGAGCTGGTATTTCGTGGAAAATGTGTCGAATGGGAAACCCACCAAGGGCAGTTTCCCTGTTAAGGCATCTTCGAACATGGAACCCCTCGAAGCCAAACATGGCGGTTACCAGCGGCTGACTTCAGCAGCGCGCATGCACAACACAAGTGTGGATCAACGCAACAGGAGGCTCGTGAATAATTAAGATCTTGAGATTCCATTCGATGGCGTTCCTGAATAAAGCTGCTCCCTTGAACTAGCTACCACTGCAAATGACGGGATATCATGCCCTTGCTGGGTCCATTCAGGTGACATCATCAGCATGTCCCTCCAAAAGCAGGAATGGAGTGAAACCCAAAAAAAGCCGCTTTGAGAACCGCTCGAAGGCTGCGGTGAGAGTTGCTCGGGGCTGGCTTTGGGCAAGTGTTGGGTTGCCAGGGATCTTAACGAGGGCGGGTCTTGGGTTTGTGTGGGGCTGCTATACAGGCTGCTGTTGGGTGGGGTTAACTTTGGGCCGGTTCCAAGGAAACTTTGGACTTCAACAGCCAAACAAAGCGTCGCAGCCATCAAACTCAACCAGCAACATGCACCAGCACCCCGCGCCCCCTGTGGAAGATAGACATAACTAAAATAACCCTGCGCAAGCACCTTGCGCAGGCCCCCTGCAAAAAAAATAAAAACTACTTTGAAGAGATCCTGCACATGCAAACTGCATCGCGCCAAACAGCATCACCTCCACCCTTTCCTCCAAATCAGGAACCGCCTCTTAGCGCTTTGCCATCCCTTTGGCGCTATCTGTCGGGAAAAGAAAAAGGAACAAGATTATTTCAGTTATTCTGCTCACTGCAACCGCAGACTGCCCCTGACGAGTGAGTGTCCTGCTGAAGCGCTTCCAGCTCCTCACGGACAAGTGGCAAGTCCGTCAGGCTTTCAGAAAGGTCCCGGCACGAGCGCCACAATACCCCAACCCAAAACGAAGCGTCGGCAAATCGAGGGCCCCCTTCAAACAGCTACACGCGCTCGCTGCCGCATGGGATCTGTTGGCCGCTCCGTCGGTTGCTCGCTTGGTCGCTCGCTTGGTCGCTCGATCTCGAGCCCCGCTCCTCCTGGTGCCTCGCCTGCAGCTCTGAAAGCCGGGCCTTCTCCGCGCCCAGCTCCTGAAGATCGGAACCCAAAGCTGAGGGTCTTGGAGGTGGACGTAAGGCGCTGGGATGGATGCGCCTGGCAATGAGACAGAGCAGAAGCCAACGTGGTGGGCTGCATGGGAAATCAACATGAAACGTCTGGTACCTAGTATCGACTGGCACCAGCAAAATAACAGCATCACCCCAGAATGCATCACTCGGAAGAACCTTCGATCACCTCCAACTCTTCATGAGAAGCGAGAATCCCGACGGCTTCGAGCTGGGACAAAACGACCTTTGGTGGGAGGCCCTCGACTCCATCTGCCACTTTCAGTGGCTCGAGTCTCCAGTCCACCAAGACCGCAATGTCCTTGTTCTCTTTGACCAACTGCTCGCACTGCTGGGTCTTTTTGTCCAGCCTGCGAGTTTTCAACACCCATGGCGCATCTCAGGGAGCCTCTGGGTCATTCTATTTGGGCTCCCTAGAACCAGAAAAAGGGGAGATGGATCGTTCTTCCTCGGCCAGCTCTGCGCATCTAGCCCTTCTTGGGCCCTACAAACCGCCGCCCTCTTTTCCAGTATGAGCGGCACATGTTGTTCCCACTTTGGCGTAGAAGCCTGATACTCATGGCTGTCCTTTTCTCTTTCGAACTTCCGGATCCTTTTGCAGCTCACAACAGTGGCCGTTTGTGAACTTGCTCTTAGCCTGCTGGCCTGCACATAGAGAAAGTGGCAGGCGAGCATACAGAAGTGGATTGGACCCTACAAGAATAAAAATTCAGGCCGAATCCGCGCTCACCTTCCAAGGATTCTCTGAACAATGCAAGTAAACCCACCATGAAAACATTGAGGTTGAGTGGACAGACAGCAAATTCCTTGTTCCCGCTTTCCATTCGCTCCATGGTCCCCAAGGGCAGCAAAAGCCCACCACGACATCAGCCTGAGCCCAAAACACCACAATGAATCGATTTACAGATCCCCCGTTAGCTGAGCCCCCAGTTGCACATTCCTGAACAACCCTGCCCAAAGGTTCGCCGCGTTTTTTGTAAGATGAACAATCAACTGTGCGTTCGGAGGGCTACACCTCGGAACATCTGGACCTGCTCCCAATCCTCCCGGGTCCCGGGCTGGTCCCGAGTGAACTTCAGCTGCTCCGTGAGCCACACATCAGCCTTCTCCTCGCAGAGGGAGGGAGGGAGGGAGGGAGGGAGGGAGGGAGGGAGGGGGAGGGAGGGAGGAGGGAGGGAGGGGAGGGAGGGAGGGAGGGAGGGAGGGAGGGGGAGGAGGGAGGGGAGGAGGGAGGGAGGAGGGAGGGAGGGAGGGAGGGAGGGAGGGAGGGAGGAGAGGAGGGAGGAGGGAGGGGAGGGAGGAGGGAGGAGGGGAGGGAGGGAGGAGGGGAGGGAGGGAGGGAGGGAGGGGAGGGAGGGGAGGGAGGGGAGGGGAGGGGAGGGGAGGGAGGGAGGGAGAGCGGCTACTGCCTATGCCCGGGGCTTGGTCGCAGACTTGGTGCACTTGATGAATTGTGCCTTGAATGTCGGCAGGTCAACAAAGAAGAGCCAGAGCCAAAGCAAGAGCAAGCGGAAGTCAGAGGAAAACAAGTCAGTAACAACATCCAGGCGGCTCCTCGACTTTCTCCGACCGCGTGAAGCACTGGAACCAGGCATCCATCGGGCTCAATCGCTCGCCAAAAAAGAAAAACATGCTATCTTATGCTCTCTCTCTCTCTCTCTCTCTCTCTCACTCGCTCTCTGTCTCTGTCTCTGTCTCTCTCCCTCTCGTTCTCTCTCTCTCTCTCTCTCTATGTCTCTCTCGCTCTCCCTCTCGTCTCTCGCTCTCTCTCTCTCTCTCTCTCTCTCTCTCTCTGTCTCTCTGTCTCTCGTCTCTCGCTCTCTCTCTGGCTCGCTCTCTCCCTCTCTGTCTCTCGTCTCTCGCTCTCTCTCTCTCTCTCTCTCTCTCTCTGGCTCGCTCTCTCCCTCTCTCTCTCTATCTCTCGTTCTGCGTCTCTCTCTCTCTCTCTCTCTCTCTCTCTGTCTCTCGTCTCTCGCTCTCTCTCTCTCTCTCTCTGGCTCGCTCTCTCCCTCTCTCTCTCTATCTCTCGTTCTGCGTCTCTCTCTCTCTCTCTCTCGCTCTCTTTCCTGTTATGGTGTCCCAGCAATGGTTTCCAAGTTATCTGTCATTGCACATGTACAGCCGTGTTTGAGCCAAACACCGACAAAAGCATGTGCTACAGTTCAGAGAGGCCCCGCCGACGCAACTGTGTGCAGATAGAAAAATCCCAGTGTCCATGAAAGCAAAAGTCTGCCACCACCAAGTCAACGCCCAATGTTTCACATATTCAGGAACACCCACTGTATGCAGCAGATCTTCCTTGGCACGGTCATATGTCCACTATACTTCGTACAAGCAGGCTATTACCTGAAGAGAAAATCTAGGACAGCCAACACACGCTCAGTTCCAAGCAAAGTTGCACCCAGCCGGCTTCTGCCCGCAAAATGACTACCTTGGGAATATGGTCGAGGTCAAAGCCGCAAAGGGGGGCCCCGGTAATGCTTCCAGGACATCAAGGGCATGTCTTTCAGTCGCTGGCCAAGTGCCAAGACTGTCGCCAGCAACTTCGTGCAACTCTGGAACCGTTGCGCAGGCAGTCTATGGCACATATACTTGAAGCCTAACGACATGCATTCAACTTGAAGGCATGCCGTCGGGCCGTTCACCCCACTCTCACGCTCACCTGGGCGCGGCTCTGAAGGCTCCTCTGCACTCCGCTCGTGGAACTTGACTGCCTTTCGCCTCTCGCAAGTTCTCACAATCTGGACAGGCTTCACCTACGGCCCCTTAGCGGGGGCAGTCACAAACGAGGGCCTTCCTCAGCGCGAAAAAGAGAAACAAATGATTGCTTTGATTATTTGAAGAAACGGTTGGGTTGGCAAGCTCCGACCCTTCGGGAAGAAAACTTATTGTACGTCACCAATAGTTGGGGCACACTACTCACGTGAAATCTTATGGGCGGGTATCTTGCTTCGACTGACATGATACTAGCCGGGTACGTTGTTGCGAGTGCTGGTATATTCCTTACAACGATATAGATGACATATACTTGAGAAGTGCGTGCGGTCCTTGTAAAATGTGTGCGATGTACATATATGGCCATGGGTCAAAACCCCGTACCCCCAGTGAACATCCCAATCCCCACTAAAATAGACTAAAGTGGGTAGTGCACCTATCCCAAAATGGTACCATTGGTTTTGAAGCGTGGCCATATGTTTTGCTTCGTGCGCGTTTGGTTCTGTTCACCTTCCTCACGCGCGCCCGCGTTGCCGCAGCGCGAGCGCTCTCAGCCGCGCCTCTGGCAGCGGAGCAGGGCGGACGTCAAGCTCGCCTCACCGCCGCCTTGCGTCCAGCTCGGCCTCGGCCAAAGACATCGAAGAGCTGGAAAACCAGCTGGGACATCATAAGAAAGGGTGTGATACAGTCGCAGATGCCCAGTGGCCAGGGGAAAAAAGGGCATCCTTTGTTGGTTGGTTGACTTTAAAGGGGAACCCTTCCCGAAAAAAAACGGAAATTCGGGCACCACTGGGCAACTGGGCAGTCCACCAAGCATGTCTCAGTGTGTTCCAATCATTCACACACCTAGCCAGAGGCTTTGAGGGAGGGCCCATGAGCAAAACCGCCACCGAAATGTATCATCCGCAAGTTGGACAATGCCACAGGTGCCATCCTTTTCTTCAGGTCAACATTCAGCTTGAGCCGATCGCTGGCAAACTTGATTCAGAGCTTGCCTGCATTTAGCTAGCACACTCAAACCCACAATGTCTGCCCCGAAAATCACGGCAACCCTTAGCCGAGCCTTATGAAAAAACCTTGGCTAGGCTCAGCACGAGATGGAGCCTACCCTCAAATGACCTCGATCCAATGCACATCCCAAATTCCCGCTATGCAACACCTTCAGCTAATTGTGAGACCCATGGGATTGAAGTAGCACATGGGACCCCACGGGGACAGTTAGCTTTCACTCAAATCGCGTCCAGGCGCTATGTTGCGAGAATATACAAATACCCCTGCGGCATCAGCGAGTCCGGTCTCTGCGAATACATCCGGGTTCCCTTGGGCCTGTGATTTTGCTGGCTTTCAGTAGGGAAGGGAATAGATTGCTTGCTTTCAGTCAGGAAGTTGGAGTCACCCCAAACTACATACACACTGCATCCTGATTTTCTGCCGGATCCCCCAGTAGATGATGTGTTTCTTTGAGTACTGGAACTACATTTGTGTATAACATCTTGAACATCATCAGGTTACAGGGTTGGTGCTACTTTGTCTCTAAAGTTGTTGTTCAATATCCTTTTCTTTGTGCGCCGTTTAGTTGTACCTTACTTTGTGAAGGGCCATTCAGTATGGCCAAATCTGAATCTTGGTTTGCTGCAGCGCAAGCGCAAAGTCGATTTTAGCCGGCCCATTTCCCACACCTTTCCGCAACGTTGGCTTCGGGATTCCCTATCAGATTCTGACGGCACACTTGCCGTGATTATCAGACCCAAAAAAAAATGCGGCAGCGGCGTTGGTCGGAATCACCCTGAGATTTCCCTGAACTTGGCAATAGGTAGGATCCGACGACTGTCCAGAGTATCCCAGGAAGAAAAAAACAATAGAGAAAAAAACAAAACAAAAAAAAGCAAGGAGAAGAAAAAGAAGAAGAAACAAAAACGAAAGACTCACCGCTTGCCAAGTCGCAAGTGTCCGCGTCAGAAGCGGTGACATCTCCACCTGGCCGTGTCAAAAAAATGCGAAACCCACGCTCCTTGCCAAACAAAATGCTTGAAAAGCGGGATCGCATCCAAATTTGGATCCTTTGGGGAATTCCGCTGAGTCCTTCAAAGGGAAACCAATGGTAGACACATGAGTCGTCCTTTTGGCCCAAACCGCCCCAAGCATCACTTCGGGGCCGGGAGCCCAGCGCGCTCGCCTTGGCTTTGGGCGCCTGGGGAATGATCTCCCATGCCTCCTCCGCGTGAACATCCTCATTCCCGTCGGGTTTTCTCCACCAGACTTTGAGGGGGCGGCTCCACGAGCGGAGTTCGGAAAAACCCTGCCAGGTTCCAAGCAACCTCGCTTTGGCGTGATCATTCGCTAGACAACCGCTGACTATATTCAAGTTGACGGAATTGTCCGAATGCTATGGATTCCCTGAGCAAACGCGAGCAAACCAACGAACCTCGTCTTCGTAAAGTGCTGGAGAAACAGTCCGCTCAGGGCCGGACTACCCAGTCGCTGAGATCCTCAAGCGAGGCAGGGTCACAACAATTACTAGTTCAGTGTGGCGGTCATCTTCGACGGCTTCCTGCGTTGTGTTTACGCAACCCACGCTCAGCGTTTGATTCTACACTTTCAGTGTAGAGTTTACAATAAACCAAAAAGCATGCGCTACAATCAACAAGCTTTGGCAACACACAATGCCAAATACGTATTGAGAGGAACAAACATGTTTGAGTTGTCCATCAAGGAGTGTAGTTGTGTTTATTCTGAGGAAGCGGTAAACTGCTTCCTGAAACCTGAGAAACCTGATCAGGAAATATCACATACGTATATACATGTACTGTTCGACGCATTGGTTTCATCACTATGATTACACATGAACTATACTGAGGTTCAAGTTGTTTGCTTGAGCTCTCATAGTGTTGCGTGCCGTATTTTGGCTTAACGGTGTGGCAGAAAGTGCCATGACACATTCGGCAATGGAATGGTCCAAAGGAATAATGCGTTAACTGTACTAGGTGTCAATCTGCACTTTCATCAACAAAATGGGTGTGCGTATACATATGTAAAGAGAAATGAGAGAGAGAGAGAGATACATAAAATACCAATGATACGTACAGTAAATGTGGTGTCATGTAATTCAGTCACAGAACTCATGTTATAAAATTCCTAGGAATATATTGTCAATCAACTACGTAGACATGGTTATAGAGTATGCTTGTTTACAATATAAGACATGAAGAAGCCAAACAGTATTGGCTATGCAGAAGAAGTCAAAGGTGGCATTGGAATATTGCTGGCTTAGTTTTCTTCTGGTGTATTTAAGCAGGAAAAGCTCCTTTGTTCTTTGCCCTAAAGATTATGTGTTGCTTGTTGATTCGACAGAGGAACGTGTTGCTCTATATTGCAAGTTGCTTGTAGATTGAAAGAAGCAAATAATCTACTTAAAACATTGGGTTTGTAAAAACACTATATCAGCAATAGTATACGAATAATTCGACAGACAAGCAGAAAGAAAGTGCTCTCCTCAAATACAAAATCTAACACCTCCTTTCGGAGACATATGCTTAGCACACTTGACGACAATGAGGAAACATACACGTAGCCAACAGCATGTGTTCTGGGGAATAGCACAACTGAAGGAAGTAGGGCAGCGTGTTTTCGGTGGATACATAACCGGTGTCCCTTTAAACACACAACCTGTACAACGGCTTTCTACATCAAGCTGCCGAGCCGGGCGCTGAGTTGTCACTTCCAGCGTCAGGGGTTCAACTCGGCCCACAAAAAATGGAGTTATAATGAAGCAAATGAGTGGACAAGTGTGTAAACATGCAGAATAGGCAAGGAAAACCAGAAGGCAATCATAGAAGCACGGCTTCCCATGAGTGCGTTTCTAGCAGCACCGTCCCTTTGAAAGCTTCCCATGCACATGCTGATCTACATTGTACAAATGAGCATGTATGAATATGCAACATGCATGCATATGTTAATAGTGAATTATGTAGAGAGAGATGAGTCATCTTGAGTCATTCTGAAGTCTCTGCCCGAGGCCGGTGCGAGAACGCCACTCTCCTGGACCTGCGGTGGCTCTGGCTATGGCACTCTCCCCAAAAAACTAGTCATGGGTATGGGAATCAACCAAGGAGAACTTGATGCCAACCACAAAGCCCAAAGCCCTGCAACTTGGGGAGGATCTGCATCCAATGGCTCCCAAACACCACCACTTTCCTTGCACATAAGACCCGCCTCACAAGAAGCAATGGCTCACATATCCGTCAGCGACGCGCAATCAGACTCAATACACATGGGCTATACACCTCTATGGGAATTGTTCAACATGGAATCCTGCTTTTCCCGAGCCGGTGCCCCTGGATTTCCTCTTTTGAAGCAGGTCAAGAACACCGAATCCGCGCTGCACTTTGGGGCAGCCCGCCTCGCAAGGAGCTCGGGCACTGCGAACCTGGACCTGTGCAACGTGCACGTCAGCGATTGAGGCGCGACGTTCGCCCAGGCTGCCGAATAGCCGAAGTCTTGAAGTGGCCAAGTCAACTAGTAGAAATGTGAAACACTAGTCAACCAGATAGTAAAATGGAATATGGCGAGCGACGCATTGAAACAGTGTGGAAGGCCATGTGGGACAAACGCCATCGTCACTGTTGCCCGCTTGAAGGCATCCCGCAGTCTGCAGTCTGGGCTCACTTCATGCAGTCAAAGTAAGAAAGCGCAAAGTCCGTGGACAAATCATTTCTTGCACAGTCAGCCGCAAATCAACCCCTCCCCCTCCCGGCCCCCAGCACCTTGCATGGCTCCTGCATGTAGGTTCGGACCTCGCGATCAGAAGTTTCAAGAGCCAAGCGACAGCGCCAGCCTCTCAAAGCTGCTTATCCACAAAAATGCACGTGCCAACCAAACGTGTACCCTGTTTCTATTGAGCGCAGCACCCACTTTGTCTGAGCGTTGCACAGCGCAGTCAAGCATGCCAAGTTGCACTCAAGCCCCCCCAAATTCCCCCCCCCCCCGTGCATGCACAGCGAGACGAACCAAAGCTAAAGCTGTCCCACCTTCCCTGCGACGTTTTTCGTCGCCGAGGTGGCCTTCTTGACCTCAATCCAAGGAAGCCAGACTTGGACATTTCTGCCATGCGCGAATTGACTGCAGTGCCTGCTACACTGACGACCAAGTCAAAAGAAGAGTACCAAGATCCCGGCCGCACTGACAAAGGGTGACCTCAATTTGCTCAGCGCATGCCAAAATGACTCATGGTGCCACGGCTCGACCGTGATTCTCTTCTAGCGGGTCAGAAACGGCAGAATTGCTATCAAACCTGGGCTAGTGATGGGAACTTAAGCTGTATCGCCACTTTCCCAAGCACTGCTTTGACGTAAACTCTTCTCGTTGACGCTCTTCGAGGACCTTCTTGCGCAAGTTGGTGCTAGTAATATGCCTTTTCGGGCACGTGTGGATCTGGTTGTCTTTGACCTGCGGTCAACACTCTGGCTGGCTGTGTAATTCTTCCGACCTTTGTCCCGTGAGTCTTGAGGGATTCACTGGATGTCCGACACTACCACTAATCCGTGGCGAAGCTATTGTGGCCTTTAGTGCTTCTGCTGGGTCAATCTTGAGGAAGCCTTTTGACCCTGGAATGGAGGGGTCCCGGTCCCTGCGAGCCTTCCTGACAAGTTCGATCTTCTGTCGCACGTGAAACTCTGCATTTCTAGCTCATCGCAGAATCGTGCTCCAACTGCACTGCGTTTCACGCGTGTATTGATCCCAGGCTGGGAAACGAAATTGACGGCACATTCGACTGTCCACCCGCCCGGAAACTCATCAATGTCAACGGCAGAATCTTGAAAATATGCGGCGTTCGCCGGTGCATATGTGAGTACTGTGGAAATGCGAGCGTGAAAGCTGGTATTTGTGTTGTAGACATCAATCATGTTCACTGTCACGCATTGCATCTTCGCAGTGTCCCTTGCAAATTGCGTTGCCAAGTTCTGAGGCACCTGCCACGACATTGCTCGAAAGCAACTGCACAGCTGCCAAGTATGAGCTTGAACAGCTGCAATGGTGAGTGCGGTGAACTGACAGCTGGCCAGGTATTCCCGACCACCCTCAGAAGCAGTATGTCTTGTTCAAAAGGGAATGTGTTTGAGCTGTAACAGGTTTCATCCCAAATCAGAACACCTTCACATAAAGGCTGAATTGATTGCGACATTGCTGAGTTGTGTGTTCCTTTCATTCATTGATGCTTGCCTATATGCATGTTTGGCCATGGCTGTTTGCCCGTGGCTAAGGTTTTTTCGCTGAGCTTCTTGCTTGCAACGACGCAGCTTTTGCCAGGATCGCTACACATACTGGGGATATGGATTGCGTGCTCCTGGGTTGGGCCGCTTGAAAGCCGTTGCAGTAAAAAGTGTTGCTGCCCGAGTAAGCTCAGAATGCCTTTGGTGCAACACAATCTCAAAAAAAAAACTTGTATATACATTTCAAATGAACCTAAGTGCGAATAATCATTTAGCACATCCCTAAGCTCTGGTTGATCACCTCTCGGGAAGCACAATCTCAAGTAATCAGCAACTAAGCTTGTTTTAGGCAGCCGGCTCTCGCGGAGCCGTGTAACTGTCATCGAATCTGAGTCTTGGGGTTGGGGAGGGGGGTGGGGGGTGGGGGGTGGGGGGGGGCCAATGAATGCGGCGCTTCTCTGTTGCGACCACCTGTGCTTGGGGTGGGGGGTGGGGGGTGGGGGGGGGGGGGGGCGAATGAATGCGGCGCTTCTCTGTTGCGACCACCTGTGCTTGGGGTGGGGGGTGGAGGGTGGGGGGGGGGGCCCATGAATGCGGCGCTTCCATTTCTGCTGTCATGTGCACCATCGCGGACGGAGCCTCCAGCCTAGGTCATTTCAGCTTCTTCTCGTGTAATCCAAGCGTTCATTTGCGCATTATGTTTATGTGTTCCAACAAGCGGGATTTTGGGCATATTTACTACGTATGTTTCTTCCAGCATCCCACATTCCTCGGCCATGCGAAATGAGCCGGCCTGCTAGCACACTTGGAGCGCAATGTGGAATTTGCTGGATTCCTTATGGAAGCATATGAAACGCTGGCGCCCTGAGAGCCTGCAGCAAAAGCTGAAAAAAGACAGCCGCTGCAATCCTCTCATTTTTGACTGGGCCTTTAGTTTCGTTGCAAAGCACAATGCGAAGGCATTGAGCTCAGATCCGCAAAAGTTTCTGGCCAAGGCTCTTTGGGATTAGTCGCGCGCAAGACACGCAAGAGTATAAAGTGCGGGAGGCGCGCGGCTGACAGGTCCACAAATTAGGTCAAAAAACAAACTTTTCGGGGACCCCCTTTGCACAGCCCATGTCGCAAGAAGTTTGAGTCAAATGAGGCAAAAACACCGCAAATACCAGTGAATTTGCCTTCTCGCACTTCAAAACACGCAAAATGCTGTCGGTGACAGTTACACGGCTCCCAGAGAGCCGCTTGCCTTGTTTTACGAGCAGGCCTTGATGGTCTCAAATAAGAATCACCTGCAAACTCGTGATCCCAAAATCCCCGGTTCGGTCGGACCTCTCTGCATTTCGGCTGACAATAATTTCTGATTCTATATTTGCAAGTCTAGCCCTGCTCGAGCAAACCCTGCGATACATGCTTCCTACCATTTTATGGCAACGGCTGACAGATCGTGTTCAACTCCTACACTTCTGATGGCTGCAACAGCACCGCCGCACCCATGGCCCATTCAAACAATGCCCCAAACGACCGGAACGTCCCGCTTTCCAGACTTCACTTTCGCTTGGCACTCTGACCGCGGCCCGGGTTCTAAGTGCCGAAAGTCAAAGCGAGAAGGTGGCACAAACAAAACCGAAAGCCAGCGGTTCAAACAACAAATGTGCAGCAGCATCAAGTGGAAAACAAAAATGGATCTTGCAAAACACATCATGTCCAAAAGCGTGATAATCCATCATGGAACACCACAATGACGCGCACAAAAATTTGGAATGATTCAAAGAATAGCTGAAACAGCGTCATAAGGACTCCAACAGCATGGTGATTCAAGCGTCGCAACCGCAAAGGGAATATCACAACTTTGGGAGCATCACGCCGAGTCAGGTAGCCTCAGAATGATTCAGTCATCATCATGATTATGCAACTAGATATTTCCGCGTGTGGGTCATTGGTATGCTGTTCTGAACTAGTTTGGTCTTTTGTAAACCAGCTTTTCAGCCCTGGAATCATTGTTACGGCGCTTGCTGTGGGACCATTACGTTTGCATGCACCACCGTGTTGAAGCGCCAGCCACTGCCGCATCCCAGCGATCGAGTGCAAACACAATGACGTTGCCCGGGCCGCCTGGTCAAATTGGCGTTTGTCAACCATGACCTTGTTGCATGAACCATTGCGTCGCTGCGGGAAGAAGAACGAAAGCGCTTGAACTATGATTCCGTTGCGCCAATCAGGGCACTTCGCCTCGAGCAGTTTTTTGCGTCGCGTCAACTGTTGCATTAGCGCTCAATCCTGCTGCGTTGAGAAAATTATCACGGCGCTAGTTCATCCAGGCTGTCGAAACCGTGTGCATACTTCTTTCAGCGCGCCCAACATTTGCACCCCACCAACCACGTCAATCAACTCCCCCCGACCCACCTGCGCACACACACACATATATCTTTGAGAAGGACCACAATCGAGCCAAACGTGTTCCTCTCGTTTGGGGTTGGCAACGCGGAACCCGACCCTCGTTGAGCATTTTCCTCTCAACCTATCGCTTGACACCAGGCCATGCGGGGGGCCCTCCCTGCCCAAGAGCTATGGGCAGTCTGTTGCAGGCTCCCCGAATCTGTACAAAGGCCACGACCCGCGCTTGCCGAAATCCTCAGAAAGAATCGGAGCTGGAAGTGGAAGAGTAACTTTTGTCATGTAAAGATGGAAAACGGAAAAACCGACAGGTTCAAAGGTCGGTTTTGGACTAGTAAATGTCGTATTAATGTCCTGTGTCGAGCAGAATTAAGGCTATCAACAGGTTCCCTGTATCTTTCGAGGACATGCATGCGAAGCGCCTTGCCGAACCGAACTAGCACGGGCCCGGCGCCTTACGCGTCGGCGGAGTTGAGCATGCTCTGGAAGACGCCTCCCTCCTGGCCATGCAAACACAAGTCCCGCTCTCCCCAAGTCAATCACCAGAAACGGGGAAGGACATGCTCATGTTTGACCTCGGCTTTCTTGATGCTTCCCGCAAGTACCTTGGGGCCAAAAAGAACCCTGTGAGGACCCCTTCAAAACTTGCGCTACACGCACCTTTGTCGGGTTCTGAAGCAGGTTTAAGCGTTTGGATTATCACTGATTCACCCGGGGTCCTGATTCGACCCGTTGAAGCAAAAAGCAAGAACTGGGTTCCCCCAAGTTGATGTTTAAAACCACCCAGGAGACAGTCTGACATACCCTAGTCGCCTAGTCTTCCCCAACCCTCACTCCATTGTTGGAAGGAGAATATGGGAACCCCCATCTTTGCACCATTCCCGATCCTTTTTACGCAACTCTTCGGGAGAGGCCATCTCCACGATCTCTCCCTGCGCCAGCACCATGATCCGATCGCAGTCCTGGGACTTTCTTGTGCATGGTTGTTTCCCCCAAAGGTTGGGATGAACCGAAACAGCTTGACATGTTCGGCTTCCCAGGTTGGTTCGTCTATTTAGTGGAAAAATATGAGGAACTAAGTAACTAACAACCCTGTTCCAATTTCCGGTCAACACCGTTCAACAATGGAGCCCCGAGTTGTTGAAAATGCCCAAGTTCAGCTGAGCACAGAAAGCTTAATGGCCTTAGGAAACACCCCATTGTAGCCCCATATTCCTACAATCATGGAAGTTGACAGGAGGGTTTTGGAAAACCATCGTCTTGATATAAGGGCTTTTGTCCACTTCAACTGATAGTTGGGATGCCACAACATACGGAACAGTTGTGGGCGTGCAACCGGAAGACAAACGCAAACTCCACCAGTTGTAGGGGTCCAGTTCAAGTGGGGTATTTGCTAATTCCCGGGTTCCCGGAAATGTGGTAATGGCCCTGTACCAGCCACTGGGTCTTTGTTGGCATTGGTTGCCACCGGCTCCTTCCATCCTGTTCTCTACCGAAACGAACTGTACCAAGCCAAAAGGCTCAAGTTGTAAGTGAGGCCACCTTCCAAGAAACTCATGTTTGCCTGTCAAAACTCAGTTAGTTGCACCTGCCTAGGTCTTTGTGACACAAATGGTTCCGTCCGATCACGATCGTGTTTTATGTCTTGGTGCTAAAAAACCAAAGTTGCAAAGGTGGTGTCGGTATCTTGTGTCTGGGGAAATGTCTATCACATCCCTCACCCTGAGCCAACCCTAAACCAACCGCAAGCCAATCCTCAGCCAACCCCTCCGCAACCCCCGTCAACCCGTTTTGCGGATTTTGTGGGCGCGGCGCCAGGATGGTCTTCAGGCGGTGGGCGATGGTCAGCGAGGTGGCGCTGGCGAAGCACCGCCGGATGGCCACCTGGATCTGCGCGTCCGTGGCGGCATCCACCGCCGCGGTGGCCTGTCTCAGCGATTGAAAGAGCTGGGAAAATACCACGAAGGTGTGTGTGTGTGTGTGTGTGGTGTGCGTGCGTGTTTCTTTGGGGTGCCCGTATTTGGTTTAAAAGGAAGCCAAAAGGAAAACCACCCTCGGCGGGCACGTCGCCATTTGACGACATCCGCCCATGGCTACGTACTTCTGGATTGAGGAAATTGTGGGCCCCTGACACTCCATTGAGATTGGTAGAGGGGCTACCCTTTCGCTCCGCGTGACCTTTTGGAACAGGCGACCGCAGCGGGGCCAACTACTGAGATCGGCGTACCGCAAGAACGGTTGCAAAACGTTGGGTTTTTTGCTGGCACTGCTTGGAAGGTGGTGGAGCAGTTCGAAGATGCCCAGATCGAGGCCGACAGCGCCTTCGACGACATCCTGGCGCTCCTGGACAAGTCCTTCCAACATGACAAGAGGGCTGAGCTTTTGGCACACTACTTCAACCAGCTGCAACATCATTCGCTCAGCTGCGGCGCCGAACACCACGACGTTCGGCTGGTTCCACATGTGGTGGGTTGGCAATTGCTTAGAAGGCCCAGCCTGAAGTTAGTCGAGGCGTTGTGCTTCGTGCTCGGCCAAGACTACAAGTTTGGACATGACCAAACCCAGCTTCAAGTCTGACACAATGGCCGGCAAGCGGAGTTGAATCATCAGATGCAGCGACGCTGGATCCCGGCGCTTCGTCCTTCTTGGCCGGCTGCCACACCTTCCTCGCCTATGCTCAAGAACTACGTCAACTCGGCTGCCCCGTCAAGACCATCAGCCTGAGCAGGCGCACCAAGGAGTTCCGCTTCGGCGACAACTACGGGGCGGTCAAGGTTCAGCTCCTCAGCATGACCCTGCCTTTGACTGAAGCAGCACATCAACGAGGATCAAGTTGACAGAGCGCAGCGCCGGATCACCCTTGTGGTAGGCCGCAATCTCTCAGCACGTCAAGGCGGACAGAAGTCTTTCGGCCCACACACTGGCTGGGACTTTTAACTCAAGTCCCACCACGCCTTCTTGGATCAACTCTACCAGGCGATGCTAGATGAGCTCTGCCTCACACCCGTTTCAAACAGCCCGTAATCACCAATACAGAATATCCACAGCCGAAAGCGCGGCTGGAGAGCCGCATCAAAGACTCTGGTCCATCTCGCACTGCCTTCAACCACAATCATGGGCATTCGCTGTTGATGACGAGGCTCCAGGGTTCTACAACGGATCCTCACCAACCACAAAGAAGAAGCCGTTCGCACTGTCCAACGCTTGCAGCGGAACTGGGAACCGTGGGCATCCCCTGTTTCGGCGGCCGTGCTCCGACAACGTGGCGCCTCTGGCACTGTCCTGGACGTGGCTTGTCAGTACTGCTGTCCGTCCTGTGCCCACCGGCACCGGCACAGCTCGCACCTTCGACCAACTTCAACGATGTCATGCGGCTGAAGCCTGACCCCGGCAAGCCGCATCATCACGAGCGCCGCGCGCTTGAGTCACTCTCGCGACGGTGTTCGTGCAGCTCTGGACTACCTTGTTCCGCAGATCAACGCACTCCCCTGCATGGCTATTTACCCGCCCAATGGGTCTTGGGTAAACAACCGAAGCTACCTGGCGAGCTCACACAGGATGGCCTTAACCCTGGGCATCTACACTTCTCACACAGTGGGCCGCGCCCGTGAATGCCAGCACCTGCGTGATGCCTATGTGGAAGGCATGTCGGACTTTCGCGCGTGCTGTGCCTCAGCAAACTGGCTGAAGGCCGTTTGAGTTTTGATAGCTCTCCCCGTGTGACATGGCATGAAACCCTTGGAATCCATATCACGTGTGGCCATACTGGCCCGAATCCGACTCTCCTTTCGCCGTTTGACGGCATTCGCCGAAGGCTACGTTGAGCAAGAAAAGCATTTGCTGCCTGCTGGGATTCGTGTACTTCTGGATTGGGGACTTCGTGCGCCCCTGCCAATCCATGGAGAACACCCATTTGGGTGTGAACTGCAAGCGGGGACCTTTTGGTGGACATTCAGGTGGGGAGAGGTGGTTCTCAATTGACATTCCTGGCCTCATGGATTCGATATGGATGTCAGATTGTGGCACAAAGGGTAACCCCAAGTGGGACAGGGGAAAACATGTCAAACAGGTCAGGTCAAAAACAGAGGAGAAAGCGGGTCAAACAGACCGGTCCTCAACTATCCCTATCGATCATTTCCTCCGCTCCAACCAACAAGCTAGACCTGTGGTCCGCTCTGACTCCATGGGCAAGCAATAACAAGGAGCACACAATAGCACCACAGAACAAAAACCGGGCAAGGCCCCAAATGGTGATGTTTAAAACCACAGGGCGAAAAAGAAGGGAAGGCCTTCCTTTCCGGAAAAAAAATGGGGAGGAAAAAAAGTCCTCGTCCAAGACCACAAGCTTACTCTTCCGCAGCACCGCGCGGGCGATGGCCACCATCTGCCGCTGCCCCGCAGACAAGTTCTGCCCGCCCTCCTGCTAGGAAACCCCACAGGGTTTCTGCTGCCAAATGATTTTGTGGCATGTATCTGAAGGGCCTAAAACTAGAAGCTTCTAGGGCTACTGCTTTTTTTTTAACTCGGGTCACCCCACTTCAGAAACGAACGCCATAGTTGCAACATCTTGCTAGAGTAGCTGAATTGGGCCCCAAAAATCGTGAAGGAATCCGCTACCCTCGAGGGGCTACGGCTCAGTGGAATAGTGACACCTGAAAGCAAGACCATTTCCCACGCCAAACTGAAAGAAGTGGAGCGCTGCCCATGTTGCCAAACCTGACTGGAGGTTCTGGACGGTCTTTCTCCCTTTAGGGACCAGAGACAGTGGGTTCATTGTTAGTGGCAAGGAGGGTATCAGATCAAGCACTTGGCAATGGAGTCACGCGGATGTCCCCCCGCCCCCCGTCCATGACTCTTGGAAACGATGGTGCTTTAGGGCCTAGATTGGGTCGTGGGGTGGTATAACAGCAGACCTACCCCACGCTTCTGGGACAATATCGTGTCTGATTCTTCGGGTCAAACCCCCTGGTTTTTCTTTGGTCTCCAACCCAGACATCCGGCAAAAACGAAAAACGACCCTCGGCCGAAAACCGAAGGCTCCTTGATCTCCAAGGCCAGGCGTTTCTCTAAGGCCTCTTCCGGCACCCGCTCCTTGCGAGGCGTCCAAGCGTCGAAGTGGCCGAGAAGAGGCGAGGTGTCGGGAACTGAGGGGCCAAGGGGAATCAGCCACTCCAAACATGCCCCATTGGGGCATTGCAACACACAATGCCCAACCAAGTCTAGAAAGCCCAGGGCAAGGTTTCAAAATGGTGACTTGCTTCTCTTCAAACCCCAGGTGAAGCCGGTGTACCGACTCAGCGCCAAGCAATCCCTCACTTCGAAGCACCGCGCTCCTGCACCCAGGGCGCCAGTTGGGCCTCCTCCAGAGCTTTCCAGATCTCTTCTGCAGAGGACCTGGTGCCCGGTTTCCCCCAAAGCACCACCCCCTCGCTCGCTCCGGTGGTTCCTTCCCCAAAGCACGCCGCTTTGCCCTGTGTGTCCTTGGAAATCTGACGTAATGCTTGTGCTTTTGAGTGCTCTTCAAAGGGAACGCAAAGGGAACAGTGGGTTGTTGCCGGCTGAGGACAAAAAGCCCTCCAAACAAAGGACATCTGCTCATACCAGTAGATTTGGCTGTGTGCAACACCTTCATGCTGTTGCGGCAAGAGCGGCCCCTGATGGTAAATACAACGTGCGCAAAAGCGCGTCAAACCGACTCAACTTTGGAGTTGTTGTATTCAATCCCTGCCGCTTTTAGCAACCTCCCAAAGTCGGTGATGATGCCAAGGATGTTGGCTATGCTCGCATGTAGTGCCTGCAGGTTGGCGACCTGCAGGGCTGCCAATTGAGGAGATGATGCCAAGGATGTTGGCTATGCTCAGATGTAGTGCCTGCAGGTTGGCGATCTGCAGGGGCTGCCAATTGAGTGAGAAGCCCCCGAAGTCGGGGATGATGCCAAGGATGTTGGCTATGCTCGGATGTAGTGCCTGCAGGTTGGCGACCTGCAGGGCTGCCAACTCAGCGATTAGCGATAATGAGATGTAGTGCCTGCAGGTTGGGTGCCTGCAGGGCTGCCAATTAAGTGAGAAGCCCCCGAAGTCAGGAATGATGCCAAGGATGTTGGCTATGCTCGGATGTAGCGCCTGCAGGTTGACTGGGAAGCCCCCGAAGTCAGGACATCAGCATGTTGGCTGGGGCGACCTGCAGGCCTCCCCATTGAATGTGTTTGTCTTGGCTCTGGTTAATCGAGGGGGGTCCGGAGAGTCTGTATTCTTCTCAGTTGTGCTCAGCTTGCTTCGGGTTTGTGTAAAAACTTCTTTGCCATTGAGATGCTTCAAAAAGGCTTTGCATTTTTGGGTACAGCACATCCCCGTCATGCGTGGGTGGGTGGCTGGGTGGGTGGGTGGGTGCGTGTGTGCGTGGGTGGGTACGTGCTGTGATTTGTGTATCTGGCGCATACCACAGACGTTTGGTGCGATTCTTTGCGTAGCTCCGCAACCAATCGAAAGTTCTGACAGAGTGTGATGCTCGGGTAGCGTAGCAAACTTGATTTGCTTTTGTTCAACCCCCCCCTGGCCATGAGGCCACCTCATTTTGGAATGTGCCTTCCCCTCAGCCCGCTCCCCCAACAAAATAAAACAGAACAACAGACAAAAAAAGCAGGGTTCCTTGTGGTCGGCCAAAAACGGTGATGTTTCAAACAGCCAACGTGTGGGGGGGGGGGGCGGTCAGACATCTTGCTGGCTCTCAACAATAAAAAAACAATGCCCCGCCCTCCAACTTGCTCTTTTTGGGCAAACCCCAGGTTTGCCGAACCAATCAATGCTCGCCGTGGGAGCTCAGCCACCTGGGGGCCCCAGCAGTTCAAAGGGGTCGCAATTGTAGCGCAAGGTCTCCTGGAAGAGCACCGGCTCCTCAGACTGTTCACAAGGCGATGAAACCTCATGGGTGTTCGTCTGTGTGTGTGTGTGAGTGTGGTTTTTTGAAGGGAGGCCAAAAAATATGTGGTTTTTTTGCGTCCATTTTTAGGGGGGCCAAAAAGTGTGGCCATGTTTGTGTTTTTAGTGGGGCCAACAAAGATGTGTTTTTTGTATTTCGGTTTCCCTCCCTGGAAAAAAGACCATTTTGTGGGGGAAGGTGGTTTGGAATGATGGTTGGAACACCCTCCCAAATTGGACAAAACTCCTGAGAATGATGTGAGGCCTCTGTCCAATAATGGAAGGGGACAGGAAGCTACGTCCCAAACTAATTGTTGGGAGGGCAAGGGGGGACACCATCGGTCAGACAAAAAGGCTGGCCGAAATGATGGTGACCAGGTCAATGAAAATTGACAAAGGGGTGGCTTGCCGTTTTCGAGACCTTTTGGGGTTGTTTTGAAACCAAAGGAAAAGAAACCACCATTTGTTGGGTGGATACTGCGGATTGCGTTGGGATTGGTGGTTTATTGCTTCCCCCATCCCCAGCACAAACTGGATTTTGTAGCCATCCACAGAAGGAACGGACAAAAACTAGTTTCCCATAAGAAAGTGGAAATAGGTGGAAAATTCATAGAAACTAGGGGACACCTAAAAGAGGGACATGGGCTAGACAAAGTAATGTCTAACATTATGCTATGATCATGGCTTGTCTTGGTTTGGAAGTACCCAAAACCCTATTCTAACTATTTCTATATGCCCTTTTGGTATGAACGGACAACATTTGGAGCGCTTTTGGTGCTGGTGTTTGGTGTTCTTTTGTTTCCCTTGAAACCGATCCTGCCCAACAAGACCAAATCCATAAAACAGAAAATTAGAACCCCACGTCACCTCACCTGACACCTATACTGATTGAGAGCCATAGCAAGGGTCGCCGCAGAAAGGCTACGGCCCTTAATCCGTAATTGGCACTTACAGTCACGATTGGCTAATGCTGACTCATCTGACGAAAACAAACATTGGTTCTTGCTCTTCTATTCCGGACTTCCGTTTCGTCGCACAGGGGAAACAACAATGCTTGCAACCACTCAAATGACCAAAAACCGCACAACCAGACCCCAAAAACCAGCAAGCTACAAAGAGCGCATGTTTCAGCTCTGATAACATGGGTCTCAAAAAAGCAAAAGGGGTTTGACCCCGTTTCGGATCAGCGACCCTTTCGGAGACTAAAAGGACCCGGTCCAACTGGCGACCTCCACCAGGTCGACTCGGCTCAAAGGGACGGGCTCCTGGGGGATCATGGCTATGGCCTGGCGCAGGTCGTCGAGGCCCAAGGCCAGCAGGTCCTCCCCGTCGAGAGTCAGCTGGGAGCCTCCGGCAAAGCCAAGAAGCGAATCGCCCAAGGAAAAAGCGAAGCGAAGACACGTACGAGAAAGCAAAATGGCAATGTTGTTGTTGTTGCTGCTGCTGCTGTTGCTGTCGCTGTTGGTGTTGCTGTTGCTGCTGCTGCTGTTGCTGTTGCTGTTGCTGTTGCTGTCGCTGTTGCTGTTGCTGTTGCTGTCGCTGTCGCTGTCGCTGTTGCTGTTGCTGTTGCTGCTGCTGCTGTTGCTGTTGCTGCTGCTGTTGCTGTTGCTGTTGCTGTTGCTGTTGCTGTTGCTGTTGCTGTTGCTGTTGCTGTTGCTGTTGCTGTTGCTGTTGCTGTTGCTGTTGCTGTTGTCGTTGTGGTTGTGGTTGCTGTTGCTGTTGCTGTTGCTGTTGCTGTTGCTGTTTCTGTTGCTGTTGCTGTTGTCGTTGTGGTTGTGGTTCCTGTTGCTGTTGCTGTTGCTGTTGCTGTTGTCGTTGTGGTTGCGGTTGCGGTTGCGGTTGCTGTTGCTGTTGCCGTTGCTGTTGCCGTTGCCGTTGCCGTTGCTGTTGCTGTTGCTGTTGCTGTTGCTGTTGCTGTTGTGGTTGTGGTTGTGGTTGCTGTTGCTGTTGCTGTTGCTGTTGCTGTTGCTGTTGTCGTTGTGGTTGTGGTTGCTGTTGCTGTTGCTGTTGCTGCTGCTGTTGCTGTCGCTGTTGCTGTTGCTGTTGTCGTTGTGGTTGTGGTTGCTGTTGCTGTTGCTGTTGCCGTTGCCGTCGCTGTCGCTGTCGCTGTTGCTGTTGCTGCTGCTGCTGCTGTTGCTGTTGCTGTTGCTGTTGCTGTTGCTGTTGCTGTTGCTGTTGCTGTTGCTGTTGCTGCTGCTGCTGCTGTTGCTGTTGCTGTTGCTGTTGCTGTTGCTGTTGCTGTTGCTGTTGCTGTTGCTGTTGCTGTTGCTGTTGCTGTTGCTGTTGCTGTTGCTGTTGTCGTTGTGGTTGTGGTTGCGGTTGCTGTTGCTGTTGCTGTTCCTTTGTCGTTGTGGTTGTGGTTGCTGTTGCTGTTGCTGTTGCTGTTGCTGTTGCTGTTGCTGTTGCTGTTGTCGTTGTGGTTGTGGTTCCTGTTGCTGTTGCTGTTGCTGTTGCTGTTGTCGTTGTGGTTGTGGTTGCGGTTGCGGTTGCTGTTGCTGTTGCCGTTGCTGTTGCCGTTGCCGTTGCCGTTGCTGTTGCTGTTGCTGTTGCTGTTGCTGTTGCTGTTGTCGTTGTGGTTGCTGTTGCTGTTGCTGTTGCTGTTGCTGTTGCTGTTGCCGTTGTGGTTGTGGTTGCTGTTGCTGTTGCTGTTGCCGTTGCTGTTGCTATTGCTGTCGCTGTTGCTGTTGCTGTTGCTGTTGCTGTTGCTGTTGCTGTTGCTGTTGCTGTTGTCGTTGTGGTTGTGGTTGTGGTTGCTGTTGCTGTTGCTGTTGCTGGTGCTGTTGCTGTTGCTGTTGCTGTTGCTGTTGTTGTTGTTGTTGCTGCTGCTGCTGCCGCCGTTGTTGTTGTTGTTGCTGTTGCTGTTGCCGTTGCTGTTGCTGTTGCTGTTGCAGTTGCTGTTGCTGTTGCTGTTGTTGCTGTTGCTGTTGCTGTTGTCGTTGTGGTTGTGGTTGCTGTTGCTGTTGCTGTTGCTGTTGTTGTTGCTGTTGCTGTTGCTGTTGCTGTGGTGGTGGTGGTTGTGGTTGTGGTTGCTGTTGCTGTTGCTGTTGCTGTTGCTGTTGCTGTTGC